TGACGTAAGACTTACACTTGACGGCTACAGATAGGGCACAGCGATACCTAGACATTTGGACGCACTGGATTCTGACAACATCAGGAGATAACTTCCTGGACGCACTAGGGGAAGACCGACCGAACCTGAGACCCCAGACCACTGTAAGAACAGATTAATAGCACCTGCGAGACTCACATATGGAAGCCATGCTTGCCTATCGGACCCCGCCAGAGGGTCTCCGTGGGGATACCCCCCCTTTTTTTTTTCCCCCACCCATCACCGACGGACACCGGACTGACTGATAGGCGAAGTCACACTAGAACCTTCGCTCACCCTTGCACCGAACGCATCGAAAACTGACAAAAATACTGAAATACACGGATATATGTAGAGCCCCACAGACAGGCACAACGGGACCTGCAGGCCCCAGATGATACATGGCACATTGACCGCTTGAGACCCGAGGGTCTCCCACAACGGGCAATTGGACGAAGTAGGGGCCAGAGGGCCCTCACATAAGTCATACTCTTAGTAGGACATATAAGCACTGTTAACAGCACTGTATACAACATATTTGTGCAATATAACTTTTACTCACATAATTGTATCTTACGCTCTGTACTGCCTTAGACTTACATAATCTGGCAAAGTATTTGCATATCTATTGTTCATTGTTGTACACTTACCTTGCAAAACTAGCCTCTACGCAGGCAACTCCATGCTTTTACATCGCAATGTTGTGTGTTTACAATTATTATGCCATCAAAATAAAAACACTTCAATTTAAAAAAAAAAAAAAGAAAAAAGGAGCACGCGCAACAACTGGCCGCATTAAACACACAAATCGCCGAACTAGAACAGGCACACAAGCAGAATCAGGAGGAGCACACGTTCCTCCAGCTGACAGAACTAAGACGGCAAAGATGGGATATACTAGCCCAAGGTCTCCTGTGCACCCTTAGAATATCAGCCCGGTTTTTCTTCGAACATTCCGACAAAAGCGGTCGGCTGCTGGTATGTCAACTTCGGGACCGAAGGAAGGCGAGTCACATTCACCACATCAAACCGCGAAACAAACCCGAAGCCTGATTACCGGAAGGCATACAGCGCGCTTTCGAGGAGTATTATACTGACCTATATATCATCCCTCACTCCAACTCGGGGGCAACCCAAAGACAGCGACTAAACACGATCACGGAGTTCCTAGAGCGAAATGTAGAGAGGAAACTTTCACCTGACATGACGGAGGACCTAGAACAGCCTCTTACGATTGAGGAATTAATAAACGGCACTAAAACACTCCAAAACCCACAGAGTGTCGGGACCCGACGGCCTCCCTCTAACCTACCTACGCACATTTCGCAACATACTCCTACCAAACCTCCTAAGTGGCCTAAACACAATACACGAGGGAGGGCGCTTTCCCACAGACACACTAGCGGCCACGATCATGGTGATCCCCAAGGAGGGTAAGGACCCGACAAAGTGCGAGAGCTACCGCCCCATATCATTGCTGAATGCAGATCTAAAATTGTTTGCTAAGGCTAAGGCCCTGAGAATCGCAAAACACCTCCCCCACCTGATCCATTCGGACCAGGTCGGGTTTATACCGGGTAGGGAAGGTAAGGATAACACAATCAAAGCCCTGAACATCATTCACATAGCACGCTCAAAACGAAAGGAACTCCTGCTGTTGTCAACCGACCCCGAAAAAGCCTTCGATCGGGTAGATTGGGTATACTTAGAGAACGCGCTTCAACATATGGGATTCGGCCCACACATGCAATCTTGGATACTATCCCTGTACACGAACCCCACGGCAAGGATACGGATCAATGGGGCACTGTCAGCCCCGTTCTCTATCCGCAATGGCACACGCCGGGGGTGCCCGTTGTCACCTCTCCTGTTTGCCCTCTCCCTCGAACCCTTCCTGGGGGCGGTCAGACGGGACGGGGGAATCTGGGGCTTCACCATCGGCCAAAAAGAATACAGAGTAGCCGCATATGCGGACGACATGCTGTTTTTTCTCACGCAACCATTGATATCGCTACCCAACCTCCTTGCATCATTTCGAACATTTGGAGTGATATCCAACCTCAAGCTTAACACAGATAAGTCGGAGGCCCTCCACATATCACACACTGACACCCCCCAAACGCACCGCCACATCCAATACCGATACAAGTGGTGCGACACCCCAGGGACCCGTCCCAGCTCTACTGCCAAAACTATCTCCCCCTGCTTCAAGCGCTGCAGACAGACCTTCAGAAATGGTCCCCAAGTTACATCTCCTGGTTTGGGCGCATTAACGCAGTTAAAATGAACGTACTCCCCAGAATCCTTTATCTGTTCCAGACGGTCCTGATCGCAGTGCCCAGAGCTTTCTTTAGCTCCATAATGACCACTATCCGTCGATTTGTCTGGAACTTACGCCCAACCCGTACGAAAAAAGCCATACTAGAGCAGCCAAAACGAGCAGGGGGAACAGGACTGCCCTCCATAGAGACATACTACCGCACAACGCACCTACACCGGCTGACCGACTGGCACGTACACCATCCCTCTAGGCAATGGGTGACACTAGAGCTGGAGCCGACTGACCGGACCGTCCCCGTTAGACTGTGGCTATACACAGCCACGTACGGGAGCCTCCACACCAAAAACCCTCTGATAGACGCCACCCTGAGGGTGTGGATAGCAGCGCGCTACAGACTGCAGCTTACCACCGCACCCAACCCCCTGATGCCCATCACCCATAACCCAGGCCTCGCGGATACCTTAACCCAAAGGGACTTGCCAGGCTTCCAACTAACTGGATGTACATACACCAATGGTATATCCCAACCGGACTTACAACGCTCCAGGAACTTTGCCCAGATAGAACGCCAACATTACTTGAACAATTTAGATACCACCAAATAAAAACATACTTTCAAACCCTACCGGGAAGCGGACACCTACGCAGACCCCTTACAAGCTTTGAACTCATATGCGTAAACCGATCACATATCCCTCGGGGGCAGGGCCGCCATCAGAGGGTGACAACCATGATGGTTGTCACGGGCCCAGTGGTCCTGGGGGGCCCGGACTGCTCTGGCAGTCCCAGGCCCTACTTTCTTTCTCTGCACACATAGACAGGGAGAGGCAGGGCTGCCATCAGGGGGTGACAACCATGATGGTTGTCACGGGCCAGACAGTCCTGGGCCCCACATTCCCTCTCTGCACATCTATATAGCGATAATCGCTATATATATGTGCAGCCATGTACAGCCGTGGGCCCCCCGGCTCCCAATACTTGCAGAGGGGGCCCAGCAGACTGCAGGAGCACATTTCAGCTTTTCACTCTAACTCCCGCGAGACATGCGGCCGTCAGATCGTTGCCATGGGTTACCATGGCAATGCTTTCCGCGGCACGCATGCCATGCTCGCGGGAGTTAGAGAGAGGGAAGAGCTGTAAAGTACAGCTGCAGTCTGCTGGGCTCCCTCTGCAATTATAGGGAGCTGGGGGCCCCACCATGCCACCAGACCACCAGTGATGGAATCTCCCCACTCCCTGAACCCGGTAAGAAGCAGGGAGGGAGAAGTAACATGTATTACATTTACATTATTACATTACATGCATACACTAGTAAACACACACTCTGCATCCACTACACTAACACACAACCTGCATACACTACACTGACACACACTCTGCATCCACTACACTCACACACACTGACACACACTCTGCATATTATGCCTCCATCAACTCCGAAGTCCCTCTGGTTCACTCTGAGTGACTGCAACTGGAAGTGTTCCTAGCTTTCAATGTAAACACTGTATTTTCTTGGAAAATACAGTGTTTACATTAGAAAGGCTGCAGGGAGCTATAGTTCCCACCTGAACGACCTCATTAAGCTGAAGTTGTTCAGGTGACTATAGTGTCCCTTTAATGGCTGTGTGTTAAGTTATTTTAAGGGGACAGTAAATTTATACTGTTCTACAGGCTGTACACTTACTACTTTACATTGTAGCAGAGTGTCATTTCTTCACTGTTACATGAAAAAATATAATAAAACATTTACAAAAATGTGAGGGGTGTACTCCCTTTTGTGAGATATATATATATATATATATATATATACACACACACACATACACACACACACACTACATTAAAGGTTTTTAACTAAACGAAAATTCAGAGGGAATTTTGATTTAGAGAGAGAGAGAGTGTGTGTGTGTGAGAGAGTGTGTGAGTGTTTTTTTTTTATTTTTCATATGTATTCTGGTCTATAACTTTTATTTCATCTTAACATAGAAAGGAAACTTCATTCAGGCATAACGTTTGAGTACTCTGTCGGTGTCCCTTTTTGAAAATGTCTCAATGTTAATCCTTGATTTTCTGTATACTTTATGTAAAACTGCATTACTCACACCACACCACACCAGAATTAATAAAATGATCATCCTGTGTATCTCTAGAACTTATGGGACTCTTTTGTTTCACACTGTCAGCACTCACATTCTCTGGATATACAGGTCTCAATAACAGATTAGTTAAATATATGATCAGTTAAACCCCTTAGTGACCAGACCACTTTTAAATTTTCTTACCGCTTGGGACCAGGGCTGTTTTTACATTTCTGCTGTGTTTGTGTTTAGCTGTAATTTTCTTCTTACTCATTTACTGTACACATATTATGTACTGTTTTTCTCACCATTAAATGGTCTTTCTAAAGATAACATTATTTCCATCATACCATATAATTTACTATAACAAAATTATAAAATATGATTAAACAAATGTAAAAAAACCCCACTTTTTCGAACTTTGACCCCCAAAATCTGTTACGCATCTACAACCGCCAAAAAACACCCTTGCTAAATAGTTTGTAAATTTTGTCCTTAGTTTAAAAACTTTTTATTAAAAGTTTGAATACACAGATCACTATTATACATAGTTTTTGCCTGAATACAAGTGATTAACTGATGGACATGCGCAATAAGAGACAATTTCTGTGAACTTTGCCATGCATTAACCCGATCATGTGACCGGATGCTCCGGAAACACATCACCTACTTTGTGTGACTATACACTGGTAAAAGCTGCACCAGTTTGTATTTTTAAGTTTAGCATCCATTTCACCTTCTATTGTGTTTTTTGTACTTTTCTAGTCACGAAAGAAAGTTTGGTCTGCAAATATGTTATTTTTCTTAAATAAACAAAATTGGCGAGATCATGCATGTGAAAAAATTGAGAAAGAGAACTCTGTGGCAGAACCTTTAATAATCCTAAGTGATAACTTAGATGAAACTTGATAACTTAGAACTGCTGAACGCTGCTGGAGAAAGTCTCACATTGCATCTGTCAGACCAGATTACACCAAGGGGTCTAAGATTTACAAAATTTCCCACATTTGATTTAGAAAAGAAAAATTTCTGAATATCTGGACGTCCGCTTTAGAGTCTTTTTCAATAACCATGAGAAATATCATTATAACCCAAAGGAAAGAGGATCTTATAGAAGTAGATCAGATGATAAAGGAAATCCAGTCCCGTCTAGAACCCTTTATTGGAACAAAAGATTTTGTCAGGGAAAGTAGAAACCAATTTGGAACATTCTATTATACAGAACAAGAAAAAAGAAATATAAAAGAGACTTAAAGGACTATGCCAATAACAAGGTAAGAAAGATCCCAAGGGGAAATAAAGATAAAGAGCAAATAAAGACATCAAACCAGGGACCATTACCCTAACGTGAAATGAGAAGGGATAGAAGTCAGATAAGAAGGAATCTCGAACCCCTACCTCTATCCCAGAAAGGAAACCTAGGGAATCTAAACCCAACAAATATTATAGGGTATGTGAGGACCGCAAGGAGCCTTACAAGCCCTATACCTAACCAATGCTATAGGGCATATGAAGGCCGTAGAGATTTTTACAAGTCCCATAGCCCAACTAAAAGGAGAGAAAACAATTGGGAATATAGTAGGAACCAAAGGAGAGAACATCACCAGTTTCAAATTCCCCTCAAAAATAGGTATGAACGCCTAAAGAGTGATAGAGGAGAAGAAGTTTTTTTTAGGGCCAAGTTGGACAGCAAAAGACTCGGGGCAAGTAACACCAAGAAAAAGATTAAGGTCAGACGAGGAAATAGAGGAGGGACATATGTTTTTGGAAAAAATGAAAAAATAGGGACAATCAAAATAATGAAACAATAAACAATGAAATAAAAATGTTTAATCTTTCAAAGAACGTTTTAATCGCCCACTCATGAAAGGATTTTAAAAAAAGGTTTTAAATTTGCTCCCAGTTGTCCTATTAATAAGTTCAAAGCATATAGGGATATCAATGGTTTTACCCGTAAATTGTGTCTTAAAATTTTTTTTTAATAGAGAAGATCAAGCAAGAGAAAGAATATCCTCTAACATTACAACACAAGATTTAGATATTTTTAAACATACTGATTTAAAGAAAAAAAATCTACTTTTTATCCCCACTTTTTAAAATCTAATAATATAAAAGGTATTTGAGCAGACTTGTTAGAAGAAATTTATAGAATTAAACCCCTAAATAAGTTTAATTATAACATCTCTATTAAGGAAAAAAAAGCGAAGGAGACTTTGAGTAGAGATACCTCAATAATTATAAAACCTGCCGACAAAGGGGTGGTCATACAGGATAAAGATGTTTGCTTACATGAAATTAAAAAAAAACAATTGGATGATATGAATACATATCTAAAGCTAAAGAAGGACCCAATAAGGGAGACTAAAGTAAAATATCATCGTTTTCTAGAAAAAGGAGTAGAAACAAAAATACTGAATAAAAATTAGTGTTCTTTCCTTTCCCTGGAGAACTCAAGAGTGCCTGTTATTTATACACTTTCCAGAAGTTGCACAAAGATCACATCCACCCCCCCAGGGAGACCCATAGTATCTGGGATTAATTCTATTCTGTCAGCCCTGTCACAGTATATTGATGCACACTTGCAACCATTAGTCAGAGGATGTCCGTCATTTTTACAGGACTCTACAAGTCTTTTAAATATATTACAGAATTTTAATTGGGAAGACGACTTTTTTTTGATAACTTGTAATGTCACAAGTTTATATACAATAATAGACCATGACAAGGGTTGCGAGACAGTAAAACATTTTTTAATTGAATCAGGCCAATTCCAAGAAATATAGATAGATTTTATTTTAGAGGGGATTAGGATGATTTTAAATAATTATTTTTGATTCGAGTGAGACTTTTATCTTCAGATCAGGGGGACTACTATGGGGACCAAGTTTGCCCCGAGTTATGACAATTTATTCATGGCATTTTGGGAACTTGGTCCTCTATAAGAGATATATAGATGATATCTTCCTGATCTGGAAGGGACCTATTCAACAATTTCAGCAATTTCTTTTGTTTTTAAATTCAAACACATGGGGGATTAAGTTTACTAAAGATATTAGCACAACAAACAGTTTTTTAGACTTGGAGATTTTTATTCACAATGACAGAATCAATACCCGTACGCACTTTAAACAAGTAGATGTGAATAGCTACGTTGAAATAGACAGGTGCCATCATTTTCCTTGGTTAAAAAATATACCCAAATGGCAATTTTTAAGACTTTGTAGGAACTGTTCTGAACAGTCAGTTTTTAGAAATCAAGCTAACGCTTTGAAAGAGCAGTTTAAACAAAAGGGATATTTCAAGGAAAAATTACAACAGGAGATTAATCAAGTCTTAGAAACTGATAGGGGTCAACTTTTAAAGTATAAAGAAAAAAACATCTCACAAGAGAAGAATGAAATCCCCCTTATTTTTAATTATGCAAGCAATATTCATTGTCTTAAAAGAATTATTAATAGAAATTTGCACATTTTAACACAAGATCATGATATGTCAAACTATATAGGGCCAAAACCCAGGTTTGACTTTATGGGAGCAAAAAATTTTAGACAAATTTTAACCACAAGTTTTATTGAAAAAGAGAAATCAAAAAACTTTATATCAAGTTGGGCAGAAATTCAGAAAGGCTTCGATCGTTGCGGAACTTGCAATGCATGCAAACATTCTAATTGTAACAATAAAAATATAAAGAGTCTTATATCCAAAACGACTGGAAGATTGTATAACATAAAATGCCCCATCACATGTTAATCAAAAGGAGTTATTTATTTATTATCATGTGAATGTGGGCTTCAATATGTGGGTAAAACTACCAGGGCACTTAATATAAGAATTAGTGGACATATAAAGAAATATAAAGAGAGGTTTCACTAACCATAGAGTGTTAAAAAATGTTTTAGGTAAACATAACTCTGATCCAAAAAAATTAAAATTTTGTGCAATAGAAAAAGTTACCACGCATTGGAGAGGGAGTGATTATAATAAAAAACTAAGTCTGCAGGAAACAAAATGGATTTTTGAATTACGCACTATAACCCCAAAAGGATTGAACATAGATTTTGAAATTAATTGCATTTTATAATCTAGCCCCTTTAAATAGAAACTGATTATTTCCATTTTTTATTAAACTTTTATTGGTCCTTTTTTATACAAAATGTCCCTTATCTATTTATTTATTTCTCGGGTTATATATTTTTTTTTGTATATATTTATTACACTGAGATTTTTATGACGTGGTGATGTATATGTCTTTTTTAATGTGTGGTTATTAGTTTGTATTAATATGCACTTTTATATCTTTTATGAACGTTTTTATATGACTTTTGGGACTTTCGCCCTTTTCCAAAATGGAGGCTTATAAAATATAAGGTATTCCATAATATCACGGAAAAAATACAAAAAACGAAAAAATACAGGATGCACCCACAGGTCTTTCTATGGAACAATGTGATTTAATGTGAACAAATTACATTCAGCAAAGCAATCAACGTTTTGACCCTGTTGGGTCTTTTTCAATATAATTTTTCTATATCGAGGCATTGTGTAATACCCTTAGAGCTGCTGGAAGCGATCACGATCGCTTCCAGCGTTCATTTTGGTCGCGGACATATAGTGTAGATCAGTGTTCGTTAAGTTTTTTGGCTGACATACCCTCTACGTCCACAGTCACTAAGGGGCTAAAATCTTACAACTTCTATAGGTTCCAAGCATATTGAACAATGTTCTTAAAGGACCACTATAGGCACCCAGACCACTTCAGCTCCATGAAGTGATCTGGGTGCCAGGTCAGTGGCTGAAGGGGTTTTATCCCCTTCAACGCTGAGGGATGGGGGCACTTCAAGAACCTATAGTGCTAGGAAAACAGGGTTTGTTTTCCTGGCACTATAGGATCTCTCTAAACACTGCACTGTTATGAATACACCTGTCACTTAACAATTAAGAAGTTTAAACCTATGCGTCTGCGTGTACATACATTGTAGAATTTATTACAACACGGTCATATTGGTGCATTTATTTAAATCCATCAAATTAATATCCTTATTTTCCCCCAAAAAAAAAAAAAAAAAAAAAGTGTTGTTTCCTTTATTTTGTAATCCAGCTAAATAGCAGATTAGCAGCTCTTCATAAAAACAACGTATTTAAATTGTAGCTTTTTTTTCAAATGTTACTCACATAATAGGTATATAAATACATACATTTAAAACATGTGTAAACCCTCCCATGCATAATTTCATGTATTATGAGTGTATGTGTGTGTATATTCACCCATACATAAACACACACACACTCACATTTATAAACAGATCTGTCTCAAAAGGCAAGGTAATACTGAAGTCGCTCCTAATGGTATCTTTTAATATTATGTTGTAGATTTTCATATCTAAAGATGTACAGTTACTTGTTAATGAGGCACTGTAAGTACCATAAAAACTACACCCCATTGTAGTGGCAATGATTGCCGAGTACTCTGGCTACATCCCAGTGTTAAGATTAAAATATATTTTGAGTGATCTCACAGGCTCCCATGCTCAAACCCCTCTTCATATTTATCCCTAAAGCACAAGTTGCTACTTTCATTAGCAACAGCAATTTGTTTAGATTTTGGACCATACTGATTGTTGAGGAGTGTCAGCTGACACTCTCAACCAATGAATGGCGCCGAAATTACAAAAGGGTAATGAGAACTTTTGCTTTAGAGACATGACCGAAAACTGGAAGGCCCGTGTCCACGCAAGAGGTTCGTGTCAAACCATTCAAAAACAATTTGAGATTCCATGAGACTATAACCACTACACAAGCAAAGGCCATAAAGTATATACAATTGATTTTATTTTTATGAGGCAGCTTTAGTGAACACATGAAATTAGTTTGACCGAGAAGCGGAGTGGGATCGTGATCATGAAAACTACCTTAGTTGCTATGCATGGAAACTTGCTTCTCTCAGCAAATCCATATTGCAGCAGTTATTCTACAGAATTAAAATATTTGAACACACACACACAAAAAAATCTATATATTTTCAGGAGAACATATTATTTACAAAGTTAACTGCCAGTGGGCTCAGTAAGCCAATAGCTTTCTATCAAGTCCCCAAGAACCAACAACCTTAAGGGATTTGTGGACTCCATGATTGTTTCAGTAAGGGAGGCTAAAGAACCTGGATGTTAGAGGCCTCAGGAAAGACACTCATTTATATTTTGCATTTTTGCACTTTGTTTTCTTACAATTCTTTATTTTAATGGGCATCAAAGCACAGTTACAGTGGCAGTGGAAGCATCAATCACAATCAGACCATTTTACAGTTTTGACATGACAACATTAAACCAAATTAAACAAAGCCCTTTCGGAGTTCTGTGCTGGCCTGATCACCTTAGAAGGTACATTGACAATGCTGTGCTGTCCTCAAAAGTCTCCGACAGGCCTTTTGTAAACACTTCAGCTTGTGGTAGAATTTAGCTCAGAATATACAATCCAGCTCCCATTTATTATTATGGGAGTTGCAGTCCACCAATTGAATACTCAAAAGAATGGCATTCATTAAAGATAAGTTTTATAGATCTTTGTTACTTTGACTTGTTTCTGCTTTCTGCTCAAACACTTTATTTTAGAGAAGGCATGTACGATGATTGCTACAGCCTTAGCTAAGTCACTAGCAAAACTGGAGCGAGAATTTCATCATTATTAGTGTATATCTTCAGTTAAACAGAATCTCCCATTGCCTAGAAAAGAAGCTACTGCAGTAGCGCAGTATACCATTCGTAACAATGTAATGTGACGATACACACTGCTTTACACATCCGGCTTTCTTTTTAGCAAATTTCAAAGAAGGAACATGACGTGAGATTCCCAAGTAGTTTGAGTCTTCGGTAGTCCTTGTGAAATTTACTTCGGCCCAAGTAGCAGCAGTGGAAACTGGTGGAGAGCCACCAGTTAAGAGACACGGTCATTGACAAAGCCAATTCAGTTGACTTTCATAATTTTTACTCCTTTGGTAAGTTACAACAATGCACACATTGTTTACAAGTAAAAGTGTATTTACAACTACACCCAGAACAAATGTTCAAAGTGAATGTCAGATTTAGTTACATAAAAAAAAAAAAAAATGCCTAAAATTCAGCATTAAAACCAACCCCAATAATACATCCATGTTTGCATTGCTTTGTAATGTCAATCCTGAAAAAATATTTTCCGCAGCACCGAAGACATGAGCACAAACCATTGGAAAGTTGCGATGTCATCATCATATAGAAATAGGACACCTAGCTTATTTTGTCAGAACTCTCCTGTGGCTCGTGGACCAAACTATAAGTACTGAATGTCTTATCTGGCAGCAGGCTAGTTGATTTTCTCATGCTGGATTTGGTAATAGCAAGCCTAAGAAAAAAAAAGGAGAAAATAAATAATCAAAAATGTCACTAAATTGAAAGATATAATCCAAGTGTCATCTAACATTTTTGTCAAGTTCGGGAAGTATCCCTGATTATTGGAGAGTTATGTGCAGAAAATCTGAATTTGTGAGTCCAGGTGTCCAAAACTTCCAAAACACATGGTGTGGTCAGCAGTATTTTGAGTTGAGAACTCAGACCTTGGTCTTTAGTGAATAAAAAAAAAATAAAAAAATAAAATAAAAAGTAAGTAAGTGCAGATACTGTTGTATTACAAAATAAAAAGGGAGAAATGTTAACTGTATTGTTAAAAAAGAAATTAAAAAAAAAATGGGCAAAGATGCAAAAGGTAAGGACTCTCCAATGCAATGTGTCTGCTGATTCCATTGCTTTCCAGGTGAGTGGCCTACTTTTAGTACTTTAGACCACATTTAAGACAGAACACAAATGATTTGTAATGACATGAAATATGATTTTTGATAATATGAAAATGGCAGAGGTGGAAACACGACTTGTGTTGACATGGAATATAGGGGAAAAGAACACTTAACATGATTTATGATAACATGTAAATGTGTACAGGAAAAACATGATTTGTCATGGCATCAAAATGGGAAAGAGTGGAATCTAATGGGTCATGACACAGAACTGGGAAGAGGGAAGAAAGACCACGCTAAAAACAAAACACAAATGTTACACTTATTATACAAGCCTATTCTTTAGGAAAGTGTGTTCATAAAGTTCAATGTATGTTCCTGTTATTAGATTACAACTTCTAAAGAAAGAAAAAATTGCCATTATTTTGATTTGTCCGCAGTTGGTGCTTTTCTGCTAGGTTCCCGTGAACTAATCTCTGCAATTGAATATCTCTGCAATAAGAGGACACTGCCCTTTAGGTTAAAAAGTAATACCATGCACAGCAAACACTTGGATTGCCCTAAATATAGTTTATATTTCATATGAGCAAATCACCTTCAAAGTGGTAAACATGATCCCCTGTTCTCCGTGCTGAAGGTATGGATCCATTAGGTCTTCAATCAAATGCACCTCAGATCCAAGATTCCGAATTCTGCACAAAATCCAGAATAAAAGTTTGCAGCTGTATGTAATAATGGTGCTTTAGTAAAGAGAGTGAGGCATACTAACCTGGCTCGAAGGACAACATAAAGAAATACAGGGAAGAGGTCATCCATAGACCATAGATAACTTTTGTTGAGGGCCTCTTGGACCTCCTGAGTAATTTCCTCAAAAGTTTGATGGATGACCTTCAGTTTGTCTGATGGTGTAAATGTTGTGCTGTGAAATCAGAAATCTAGAGAGTTATTTAAGATCCTATCATGAGACTATGCATGCCAGTTTTGGAAGACAAAAATTCTCCTTTCGACATTAACATCTGCACTACAGTGACATATGAAAAGTTATAAACTTGGACATTGTTCATTTAGGCCCTTTTTTGCGATTTCCAACACTTTGGTTATTTTATTTTAAACACAACTCTTATCCTACTGTGAGGTAGCTTAATGATTACTACTCCAAATGAAGGATTCTGGTGAAAGTAGAGAATAGATGAGGACTTTCAATATCAATAAAAATAATAGAAAATGCATTAAAGTATTCAATGCATTTTTTATGAATGCAAAATAAGTGCACAATTATTTTATCAGAATATGAAAACATGTATAACCACACAAACATGCAAAACTTGCTTACAAACAGAATTCCTATCCATCTTGTGTAAGAGGACTCCTTATAAAATACACACTTTCCAGGGTTACCTCTGAATCTTACATGTTGGTGCTTTCTTCTCTTATAATTCTTTATTTTAAGAAGTATCACGCCATAGCTACAATGGCAGTGAAAGCATCAATCATAATGACACTGGAGACTGTTATATGGATAAATGCTGAACTGATAAGTCATGATTTGTGAATCTGACACTCAGGATGCATTATTATTGGCGGATAGGGCACCAATACGACATATTAGCCTGCGTGTGTTTCTTTAATAGGGTTTTTCTTAACTAATTAAATAAACTATTTCTTAGACAGTTTACACATATTGGTGAATGGAGTTATATACTTTTCAGAGCAGTATTTAAACCTTGCTTTCCCTGCAGTCAGTTTAGCCTTTCACATTACCACAGACGATAATATAAGTACCCACGGAATTCGGGATAACAACTAGAACCCCACATATCTTGGAAAACTAGCAAAAGCCAAATTAATCTTTCCTAGTTAAATAATTTGATCTATTAGATTACCTAATTTGCTGAAGACATTCGACTGCAGAGGAAAAACAAGTGTCTTTTGTGGTTGATAAAATCTGCATTGAATATAGAGAAAGATAAAGAAATCAATTAAAAACAGTAGTATTATGGACATAGGGGGGTGGAGATGTGTGTGGAGGGTGGGGGTGTAGAACATAATGTGGCATGGTATTAAGGAAAAATAATTCAACAGGATGCTTAGATAAAAAAAGGTGCTGAAGTGAAATAATTAAACAACGGCCTACTGGTGGAGTTATTTCTCATATTTTAACCAACGGAGCACACAAATAAATATAAAGGGATGATCTATATTTAGCAAAATATACCAGAAATAATATCCACAAATAAAACCCGTCACACTATGTGACAAGGCTGCAAAATCTATCAGAAAGAAAACTAAACCAGGTATAATCTAAAACACTTTGTCCCAAGTTTCAGGAAAATAGTTCACGTTTTGGGCCAGCCTTTGCTGTTAAATGCCAAGTCAACTGCTGTATACCGATTTTCATTAAAGCTATTTTGATTATCTTTATTATATTTCAGTACTGCCATAGACAGATGTGAAGTGTTCTATTTCTACCATTATATAAATATACAATGGTATGTTTTTCTGAATAAGAATCACAGTTTAATATATCTTGCTGTGCATTGGTAATTGCAGTTTTGCAAATGACCATATCATCTCCAATATTCTTCAGTTGTAAATGCAATAAATGGGGAAAAAATAGGCATTTAAGATATTTACATTGCATAAGAATCAGCTATCATTTATGCCTTCTTCCTGGTGGCATACCATTACTTTATTAACATGTGTACACATTACCATTAGAACACATTTTAATGTAATATAGAATACAGACTATAACTGCAAAAACAAAACTACTAAAAAATAAATAAATCAAAACTATTCTAAGTCAACTCCATTCTTCTAGTGCAGAGGTCAGAAACCAATGGCACGAGTGCCATGCACATAACTCGAGGTGCCTTTGCATGGAACTCACAATACCACAAACTATCGATGAATATATACAATGTAGCACAAATACAACGCTACATAAAGAGCACAAGCAGAATGCGGCAACATGCACACCTTAATTTTAAAAAAATAGGACCGGCACGTCAAGAGATTTCAAGATCTTGGTTTGGCACAGTACTACTAAAAGGTTGCCTACCCCTGTTCTACTGCGTATTTGTTATTCAGGACTGCCTTACTTTATATATACTCTAAATATCAAGTAAGATACATCAGATTACTTTTCATGCAATACTCAGCCAACTGTTAACCAAGCCCTAGACCGCCCTTAATCTTCTTTATTTCAATTACTGAGCAAACATTCTATCGCCATCTAGTGCCACTAGGGAATATATGTAAAAAGAAAACCATATATGAAAAAATAAACTGCAAGCAGAAAATAAGGGCGCAGACATATCATTTTATCCCACATTTAGAGGTGATTTATTTTGTTACCTTCTGCTTTACTCCCAAGAAGATTCTAGTCGTCGGCCAGAATTTGCTACGGAGGAAAAAAAAAAAAAAGTGTGAAAATAAGACATACAAGAATATAACTGTGTTCCTTGTCCTGTAAAATAGAATAGGCTTTATTTGACATCACAACAGGTCTTTGGGGATGGAAAATAGAAAAAACAAAAACACAGAAAAAAAGTAGATTAAAGGACCACTCTAGGCACCCAGACCACTTCAGCTTAACCCCTTAAGGACACATGACATGTGTGACATGTCATGATTCCCTTTTATTCCTGAAGTTTGGTCCTTAAGGGGTTAATGAAGTGGTCTGGGTGCCAGGTCCAACTAGGGTTAACCCATTTTTTCATAAACATAGCGGTTTCAGAGAAACCGCTATGTTTATGAATGGGTTAAGCCTTCCCCCATTCCCTCTAGCGGCTGTCTCATTGACAGCCGCTAGAGGCGCTTGCGTGCTTCTCACTGTGAAAATCACAGTGAGAGCACGCCAGCGTCCATAGGAAAGCATTGATAATGCTTTCCTATGCGACCGGCTGAATGCGCGCGCAGCTATTGCCGCGCTTGCGCATTCAGCCGACGGGGAGGAACGGAGGAGGATCGGAGGAGGAGAGCTCCACGCCCAGCGCTGGAAAAAGGTAAGTTTTTACCCCTTTCCCCCTTCCAGAGCCGGGCGGGAGGGGGACCCTGAGGGTGGGGGCACCCTCAGGGCACTATAGTGCCAGGAAAACGAGTATGTTTTCCTGGCACTATAGTTGTCCTTTAACTTTGAAGAAATCGAATCCTATTTAGAAATGCATCAGTGAAGCCGGTTGACGGACAATTTGAAGTATGTGTCTGACATAAAAAGGTATAACTACTGGTATTTTGATACCATCATTTTGAAAGAAACAAAGAATCCTTCAATCTGAAAAAGAGAAAATAATCTTTGCTAAACTCTGGCTATTTCAGTCACAAAACTATATAAACTATTAAAAAAAATAACAAGACAAGCTGAATAAGCAAAGTGCAAAAGTGGTTGCCCCATCTCGACTGGTAGTGTGCCTTGCCTGGCTTTTTCGGTAATGGAAGCATAGTGGGCGGTTCAAGCTTTTTTTCCCTACTTCTAAAAATCTTTCACCTCTATGTCAAAGGTCTTTTTTTTTTTTGCAATAGAAAATACAGTAGCTGCTCCTCCAGCCCGTGAAGGTTAATTTTCCGTCTCTACCGACAACATATCATGTTTATTATTGTTATTTTTATTGTGGATACTAACTGGTCGTTTGACTGTTATATTTCTTTGTTATAATGTTCTGTATCTAAACTAAATATAACAAATCACAAAAACCAAAGAACGGATCTGATCTGAATTGGATGACCCAGTCCGATATGAGGAAGAAGAAACAAAACCAGAAAAAAAATAAAAATTCCTATCCAAGGCCAAAGAATAAAGAAGTAAAACCAAGAGTGAGAAGCACAAATACTGAGCCCTGGAGTAACCCGATAATCAGTTATGGTGTGATGACATATTTTTTGCTATTTTTGTCTACATTTGGAAAGGTTATCACTTTGAGAATGCTTCATCACCCAATCAGTGTTATTCATTAATTGAAACCTAAAAAATATTTTTTTCTATACCATCATTTTTTTTTGCAACTGGAGCGATGTGGGAGATCATATATATATATATATATATATATATATATATATATATATATATATATATATATATATATATATATATACATATATATATATATATACATATATATATATATATATATATACATACACACACATACATACACATACATATATATATATATATATACATACATACACACACATATATATTTATTATTTTTTTAATCATATTTTATTTAATTTTTGTAGTTATTATAGAGATACAACAGAGAAACAGATGAGGAGGCACACAGGCCTCTAGATATTTAATGATGCTGAACATTCATAAGATTTCCTATATTATGACAAGAAAAATAGTGATCTAAAGCTTCAGATACTCTTTGAATTTCAGAAAATTTACATTTTGTTAAATAGCCCCAATTGCTTTTTACTGACCGTTAAGCACAGTAAAGTAGGCGTAATGGAAAGCAGGTGGGCATTGGATCAGTGGATTTTATGCTTTCATATATAAGATTCATATACTGTCCCATCATAATAATGTGATAAATTCAAGGTAGGTTTACTGAACACAAGAAAGAAGTCAAATATCTTTCCCATTCTCCTCAGTTACCACAGGTAAACATCATTACATTGATCCTCTCAGATTCTGGAGATAAGGAAGAACTCTTTCATCAGCTAGAGGGATAAAATATGCTACAACAATCATGTAACTGCTAATGTATAAAACATTTACATAACCTTGTGTATTTTAATTATGCTTTCTTTATAAACCTTCTAAAAACATTAAAGTGTCACTGTCACCGTCTGGGGACTTTGACGAAATTGCAAAGACTCCAGTTGGTGAAATTGCCGCTGGGGATCCGGTGACAGGAGGGGGAGGGTAAAGGCAAGATTAACCTACCTGAACTTGTCCCTCAAGAGGGCAGCCACCGCAACTGCAGGATCCTACATAGACACAGCCAATTCCCTGCAGCAGTCACTGGTGACGTCTGTCGAGATTGACACTTAGACTCTGCCCTGAACCTAAGAAAATCAGGCGGAGGAGAAATTCAGAGACAAAGCAGTCCATACTTTGTCTCTGTATATCTGTTGACTGGGTTAGAATTTCATTGAAATTACAACACCGTCAACATGAGTATTTCTTTAAGATTCTATTGTTGTAAAATACAGTATCGGGGGGGATGACAGGGCCGCTTTAATTTTCTGTAAACTATATAACCACTTTCCAGAAGTAAACGAAATATGAACAAAAGTGGACATGCAAATCTTTGTTCATCTACAATATAAAGGATATATAAAGAAAAACAGTGTTTATTTGTTTAATGTAACAACTACAAATTATTTAAGAAATTAGATACAATGCAGATTAGCCGGGATTGTAGGTTTTCTACTACACTTACTCTTGCACACCCAAAAACGCAAGGAGTGCAGTGTCTGGTTGCTTGTTCAAACGTAGGATGCACTCCCAATACGCTTCTTCATCCTTCTCATGCTCAAGAGCGTAAAGCATGAACAGGGGAGGGTACAATCTGGGTAACAGCACAGGTAACAGCAATCCTGAACTTGTGACCACATACCTGAAAAGAGACAGGTGTTAAAGTCAATCATTGTTTTTATACCTCTATAAACCACAAAATATTGAAAGCAATGAATTTAGAGCAGTTAGAGAATTGTAAAACATGAATACAAAGACAGCCAATAAAGTAATCTTTAACCAAGACAAGCAACACCATAATCTGCACAGCTATTTGGTAAATCAAGATGAATTGTTTATAACCAACATACTTCTAAGGCACATACTTTTGGTATATTGCAGTAAATAAAGAAGGAAGCCAGGCCATATGTATATAAAGTAAATATTAAAGGTTGCAGTTTCATTAAATTGATGCTTTCAGACCACTATTGACATATATGCACAGAATTGTGTAAAAAATATATTTGGCACTTTAAAATATTTGGAGACAAAAACCTGAAATGGCATTTAACAGTTCATTCTAGATATCTGCTAAAGGGAAATCATACCACTATGATTAACTGCAGTGGTTATGGTACTTAGAGCAACCTCCTTCAAACTTTCTTCTTGTATTCAGTTGTGATCTATGAACAGGAATGTCTGCTCTAAGATCTTCATGGACTACAACTCACATTATACCCTGCCTGCTGTAACTTGCCATAGGGTTATAGGAGTTATTGTTCAAAGACATTTGGGTTGATGAAGCAGGACACCCTGGTGTGTTCCTTTTCTCCATGAGATTTGACAATAACAAGGGGAGCCCAAAAAGGGAGTCCTTCTTATCAATATGTATTTAACATTAATAGTTTAGAGAGAGATTTGGTGTACAAAATCCTTGATGAAGCAGGCTTCTTTGAGTTTTGCAAATACAAATCATTGAAATGTGAGTTAAATTCACTATATAAAAGCCTCTGTATCACATGTTCAGTTGTTTTTTTTCTTTTGTTTCTACAAACTGTTCAAGTCCTTTTCTTATGCATGCACAGTTTAATCCTGTGCGGTGTTCCTTTGCACACAAATTTTCGCTCCTCATTTTAATGCTCTCACCAATGCGAACTACATGATACATGCGCTACCTCCTATGTTCCCCCCCACTCCCCATTTATGAACGAACCACGATGTTATACCTTGCCATATCCAACTGAAGGGATTATAGCCCCTTCAAGAGCATTTCATTTATAAGTCCCTTCAAGAGTATTTCATCCTACAAGAGGCATCTACGACCTTATCGCCCAAATTGGCACGTCCATTACTCCTAACACAACAATTGGGTGAGGGGTGCAGTATCGTACAATTATTGTTTATTCTACTATATTTATTTACTTATTGTTTATTCTACAAAAAAAAAAAAAAAAAATCCATAGTCCTCTGTATCGTGCTACATTCAAACTTGCCATACTGTATTGTTGTTAATTGTATATTGCATACATAAGTGATATGGTGTTATTGTTATCAAAGCAGGATTGTGAATAAAGAAACATTTTACAAATTCACTATATAATACAACAAATACCCATAAGTAAAATGTTTTACTATACTAAACATACCGAAATGAACTTGTAATTGTACAACTTACCCTGGTTCAGGAGATTCAGATCCAGAATCAGCGGTCCCATTGTAAATGTGACACTTGTCTGGTGACTCTTTGGTAATCGCTGATGGCTGGATCAAGCTGCCTTCCTCAGGGAGGTCAGGGAACAGAAACCTGGAGAACAAAACTGTTATCACAAGGCAGTTTGAGATGAACACAATCTTTAAGTAACACAACAAGGTCCAGCATCTCAAATTATCATATCCTGCACTGCAAGAGATGAGAGACTCCCTATTTATAATGCATTGCAAAGATAACATACTTGAAAAAAAAAAAAAAGCTACTCGCCTTGAAAGTTTCTCTTGCAATTCAGAATAAACCATTGCCACAGATTGTCCTCCGATAACATGAACATGCACGCTCACCTCACAATCTGGAAGATACGTTTCAGGTAAGATTTGATCTCTCGAACTGCCTCCTGTAAAAGCCTCCTGTTGGCTCCTACTCCTACGTATGTCATTCTGTACACAGCCACCAGGGTCTCCACAAGTCTTCCCAGCTGATGCATCGGGGTTTCACAAGCCTGAGGAGGATTGATATGAATAGAAAGACAACAGATCAATACAATGAAAATGAAGCTATATATGATGGCATGATCTCGCGTTTCTGAACTACAGTCACTGGAGACTGCATACCTTATGCAATCCATTGTTTATAGTTCACTTTTCTCCAAATAATAAACAAGGAGGGTTTGTTCAGACAACACTATTCACTCTATAAATTATGTTTGTGAAATTATTAACAATGTGTAGATTTTAATGATTAATTATAGTATGTAAAATCTGGGCTTAGCGCTGTGCCATTATGAAATGCTAGCCTACATTTTAATTGGTGGTAATTGGACATCCTGGATAGAGTAAAATACCAGAATTATTTTTGGTACCTTATATACATTTCGTGCTTAGGACAGGAGATTATAATACACTGGTCTACATTAAATTCCAGATGAATGCTTTTAATATGGTAAAAAAATATCTAATTAAAAAAAAGTATTCAGTATAGGTCTACCAGTTGCACAAGTAAATTGGAATTAAATTTGCTAGATGCAGGTGACACCACAAAAGACCATGAAGATGGAAGCTTGGGAGCTAAATAGTGTAAGAGAATAAAACTATAATTACACACGGGTATAATGTGTAGATAAATGATCAAAAAAAAAACATTCCATATTAATTGCGAAGCATAAGAACTAAGTTACATTTATCAGATACATCTTGATCTTCTCATATTTCTCGAGTGTGAAGGGGCCAACGAGCTGCGGTATAAGTTCCAAGCTCTCCAGTGTTTGGGTATGGGAGCGGCTCAGTGGCTCAGGGCTACAACAGAGAGAGAGAGAGAGAGAGGGGAGAAAATAACCACCTACATTCAGAGATGGACAGGAGATCATGCAGGCACTAACCCACCTACTGCTGAGTGAACACAATGTATTGATGGATAACTCCCTAACGAAGAACACACTTCAGATGTTATGGTAATATGTAATATATTATTAAAAGTCTTTTTTAAATTTTTTTTATTCTCTGCTAATTACCAAATAATTCCAAATGGTGCAGCTTTGCTTGTTTAGCAAACTACATTCTCGTAGACTACTGTATTAAGTAAGAGATATATTACAGCACATGGATCTCCTGATCAATGTTAAGTTTGGTTTGTAATTAGTTAACTGGTCGTTTGTAAAATGTGAAAACAGCACTTGAAGTTTACACATTTAAGTAAGGCATTTTTCACATTCAAGCAAACACATGGATATTCTCTTAATTCTGTAATCAGTCCAAACTCAACACTCAATGAAAAACCATCAAACAATTCTCGTAAAAGAATGCTTAATAATAAATCCCAAATGCACTGAGAGAAAAGCAGATGAAACAACAAAATTAAATTGCAAAAGAAAAGGAAAAAAAATGACAAACTGCTTCTCACAGAGATTAGAAATCGGCCCTTTTATTTATATATCCAGTGACATTCCAATCCCAGAAATATACCTGTCCTGTTTTTGCCGCCTGTTAGTGGTAATGGCCACAGCTATGTTTTCCCACGCCTTTTTAGAGTCTCCTTGTCCAGGAGTCTCACATCCAAGCTCGTTCCAGCACTCGTCAAAAATGGCCTTCCACTTTTCGTCAGCTGGCACAGACAGACGTCCTAACTTCCTAAAGGGGAAAGCCCATGAGATCACCACAATGGGACAACCATGACCAGCAGACCCCAAAGTCTGGAGATATACGGTAATTTCACAGTTACATACTTAAAGTGACACTTTGATGTTAGAAGGATATTAGTAGATTAAAAAATATCCCATCTTTTTATATTAATATATTGTTATACGACCAGAGCTTCATTAACAAATATAAAAAAAACAACAGTAAATGGTCATGCCCCTAAAAGCAGATTAGCATAGCTGGCCTGGTAGCCACCCCATAAACATCCAAATTCCAGCCTCTCTCTGCTTTAAGGAAGTCCGAGTGACACGAAGCAGGCGGCATAAAATTAACCAGGGGTGGCTTCAACTTGCTCTTTGAGGCTGTTGGAGTGTGATAATTGCCAGTTGTCAGCAGGTTAACCTTGGTATGTATATGGAAGACGAAGAATAGCTGTTGGCACCTGTCCCGCTTATTCCACCAGCCCAAACATTCCCAGCTAACATGCATGACTCACAAGCTCTTGGCTTCCTCTTTTTCTCCATCATACACAATTGGCTTTAAGTAGGTGCCGTTGACTTTTATTCCAGATCCCCACACTCCAGAGAAAAGTCCTTCAATGCAATCTCCATTTGACATAGTCAGGACCCCCTGGCAAGAGAATAAAAACTGTTCTAGCAACACAAACATTTTAATGCCAGATGTAGCAGGAATACATTAGTGAAACACAGGGCAGTTAGGTCACCTTACCTTTCCGTTCAATGTCCAGTCATCTGAGAACTCCCCTTCGTAAACAGTATCATCTTCAGAAAGTAAAACACCAGTCCCCTAGTTATAGGACAGACAGGATCCAAATAAATAAAGAATATTGCATGACAAGGCAAATGTGCAATTTTATATGGACTTTATGGGCCTACTTTTTTATTTGAACTGTAAATTTGTATAGATACTACCAGTCAGTGAATGACTTCGTGACTTAGTGATATAAAGATATCACAAGGAGGCGTGCAATGATATGACTAGTAAAAAAAGAAACAACAGACTGTTCCAAGAAAGGATAACTATCCATTTCAGATCCAGAAACAATTCAAGAATAAAATAGATGAAGAAAAAACAAGGTGCCAGTATTTAAATTACAGAATAAAGAGCATCTGGTAGCAGAGTCTTACCATCATCTTGTTGAAGTTGAAGGCTCCTTCGTAGTATAAGCCAAACTGGGTCACTACAACTCCATTGCCCTGACGGAAATCATCCTGCCACATTCCCATGTACTTCTCACCCCTGCCATGAATCAATTAAGAGAGAAAGAAACTAAATAAATTGCAACATACCCCCATTCTAAGCAAGTAAATTAAATGTCTATTGCGCCTTTCATGCCAGAAGGAAGAAAATAAAGCCCAATGTTGATCAAGCAATCGCCAATGTACTCCGTAAACACAGTGTATGTGCACACAATTTTATGCACGCAGGACAATGTACAGGTATTAATGCTCACTTTAGTTACTCTCCATTTATACATGCAATCGTCACATCTCTAGCATTGAATTAAAAGCACTACTACAAAAACACTGCTTAACTAGGACAGGAGTTTACCAACAATCTGTGGATATTTTAGCACGTGACTTGCTTTACAATGGGTGTGGTAGTATTTAAACATCCTATAAGACTTTATTGCTGTATATATAGATCCAACTAGAGAAAGAGTAAGCATTTTTATAACAAACACAGGAAACTGTACCTCGTGATATCATCAAAGACTCCATAGCCGGTTTTCTTATCCATCACCCACTGACCAATGAACATGCTGGGTGAACACGAGGTGAGCTTGCCGCTCCGCAGCAGCCCATGGCCGTGCCTTGTGTTATCTTGGAAACAGCCTTCATATACCTCACTATTTGCGTACCTAAGCAGAGGCATTGTTCAATTAATCGCAGATGGTGGTTTGTATAGTGTAAAATTTGCTTGGCAAAAACTTTAAAAGACACACTAAGCAACCATATATTTTGATGAAATGATGATCGTGAGAAGAAGAGAGAAAGACTGATAAAGTCTGTATAAGACAAAATAATGTCATTTGGAGATGCGGAAATCATTACAAACCACAAGTTAGAACAAAAATGTTGAATAGGTTATGGAGGACTATGGGTCCTACAACCTTAAGGTGTTTCTTAATCTGCAGCTAGAAATATATAATTATAAATTTATCATTTATGGGGGATATTTTTTATATTAAACAGAAACATTATTTCCACGTGTATTATTATACAGCTCTGGAAAGAAAACTGTGACTCAAGGGTTCTCACAATATACACACATATCAGCTTGGCAAGAAACAATGTGCTAATTAGAAGCAAAATTTTGTCTCTGAGATGTCAGCTCAGTCATTACAATTTGCCATATAAGATCGAATTGCATGAAATAACCATTGAGGAATTGAACGTTCTCATGATATAGCAAATGTAAAGGAAATCTGACGAGCTCTCTAACCAATTTCTTATCCCAGTGTACCATGCAATCATAGACTCTAATTTACCAGAAGGTGCCTTGGCCACACATTTTGCCATCTTTCCAATGTCCAAGGTAGCGATCATTCTTCTTTAAAGCTTTGTTAGGAATTTTGTATTCTCCATACCTGTGGGGAAAATATAAAAATAAATAAATTTAAAAAAAAATCAGTGAAGGTTCTATCTCAACATTATTATAGTGTGACAATATTTTTTTTAAATTTTTTTTTTTACGTAATAATCAACTCTTACCCATCCTCCAATCCATTCCGAAAATTGCCAGAATATGTTCTTCCATCTGGCCATGTAAGCATACCTCTAAAAATCAAAATAGAAACATATGTGTACATACACAGATTTTATTTTATATGTATCTATATATAGACACACACACACACACACTTACACTTACTTGCCATGTGGTTTCCCATTTTGCCATCGACCTTCATAAGTGGCATCCTTCAGCCGTGGATCTTTATAAAAAGTGTACTTGGCGCTGCGTGACAATGGGGGTTCCTGTCTTTGAATGCTTCCACTAGTAGTGGGCAGTGGCTCAGACAAGCCCTTCAATGCCTGATCAACTGCCTGGCTAATGGCTCGAAGCCACTTGTTCTAAAAAAGATAAACAGAGACTATTTCCAAACAGAAGATTTTATTTCTGGGCTTCCCATATGATCAAAGGCATTACGAAACAAAAGTGACATCCTAACCAACGTGTCTAATCCTACAAAATATGCTCATGTGATTAATACAGGCATGAGTCCTATTTACAGAATGCAGGATTGTGCCCCTGTAGTTACAAGGACATGTGCAAAAGTACAAACTTTCATGTGACTCTGCAGAGAATTTGGGGCTGAATAGCAGATTTTAGTAATGTTTAAATTCATTTTATTGATTTTTGCCTACACATTTTTGAAGTGGGCAGTTTTTGTTTGTGAGATGGGGTAGCAAATTACAATTTGGTTACAACAGGTTACAATTTGTTTTGATACAGTTACTATATATTTATAAGATGCACATTTCTTCTACCTCTCTATGTCAACTATAAAATAGATTACTTGATCGTGGCTTTAAAAACAAACAAACAAAAAAGAACAAAAACACAAGATGTAAACCCCCAATAAAATGCAGCTTAATGCAGTCACAAGTCCATGTCAGCAACACAGCAATGCATAAAGTGAAACTCAAAGGAAACTACACACACCATAACCACTGCAAGTCACTGTAGTGCTTATTCAGCTTCATCTCCAGAACCCATGCTCTGCCTGACTACCTACTGACAACTAGGGATCGACCGATATTGATTTTTTTTTTTTAAGAGCTGATACCAATAATCTGGGAACTTTCAGGCCGATAGCCGATAATTTACCGATATTCTGTACATTTACCATTTTGAAAAAATAAACTCTTTCTAAAGGTAAATGCACAAAATACACATGCCACATTCAGTGGATGCAGTGTATTTAGACAGGGGAGCTGTGTGTGTTTGTGTAGTGGATGCAGTGTGTATATGATGAATGCAGAGTGTGTTTGTGTAGTGTGTGTATAATGAATGCAGTGAGTGTGTGTATATAGTGAATGCAGAGTGTGTGTTTGTGTAGTGTGAGTATAGTGAATGCAGTGTGTGTATACAATGAATGCAGAGTATGTGTGTGTTTGTGTAGTGTTTGTATAGTGAATGCAGAGTGTGTGTGTGTTTGTGTAATGTGTGTATATAATGCAGAGTGTGTGTGTTTTCTGTAGGTATGTAATTTGTGTAAAATGGGAGGGGCGGCATTTTAAAAAAATATTAATTTTTTTTGTTTTTGTCCCTCCACCCTGTTTCTTACTTGGTCAGGGAGGGGGGATATGGCATTCCCTGGTGGTTCGGTGGCATGGACTGTGCAGTGGGGGGCCGCAACAAGCTCTTACTTACCTTCCCAGCAGCTCCATTCAGCTCCTCTGTGTAAATCTCGTGGCCAGTGTGCCGCGCGGAGTGTTGCCGCTCTGATGGCTGCGGGACTCGCGAGATTTAGACAGGGGAGTTGAAGGGAGCTGCTGGGAAGGTAAGGAAGAGCTTGCTGTGGGCCCCCACTGCACAGTCCATGCCACCGAACCACCAGGGAATGTCATTTGTCCTGGTATGTATTATCGGCAGTATCGATATCTTTATTGGCATCATTACATAAATTGCAGTGTTTATAGTGCTTGGAGCAGGGTCGGCATTGGCGGCTGCAGCACTCTCCGGGCTGGGGAGTCCATGAGGTCGTACCGGCCCAGGGGCGCAAGATATGAGGCATCAGCAGGAGGGAAGCGCACAGCGCTCCCTCCTGCCCGTCCCTCAGTGTAACGTGGCTGAGCTCTGGTCCGGTCCACAGTACAGGAGCATCCGTTTCCTGTACCCGGCCGGACTGAAAGTAGGTGCTCACTGAGTGAGCACTTCCTGTCAGTCCGACCGGGTACAGGAAACAAACTTCTATACCACGGACCGGAGCTCAGCCACGCTACACAGGGTGGCGGGAGGAGATACCACCAAGGGAGGGAGGGGTGAGGAGAGACCACCAAGGAAGGGAGGGATGAGGAGAGACCACTAAGGGGGGGAGGGGGGAGGAGAGACCACTAAGGGGGAGGGAGACCATATGGGAGGGAGGGAGAGACCACTTGCTAAGTGGGGGGGAGGGGAAGGAGAGGGCCACTGGGGGGAGGGAGGAGGGAGCCACTAAGGGGGAGGGAGAGGGTGAGGAGGAGACCACTAAGAGAGGGAGGGAGGGTGAGGGAGAGACCACTAAGGGAGGGAGGGAGTGTGGGAGCCACTAAAGGGATGGTGGGTGTGGAGAGACCACTGAGGGGAGGGAGGTTGTGGAGAGACCACAAAGGGAAAGGGGAGGGTGAGGGAGGGAACCACTGGGGAAGGGAGGGTGAGGAGACCACTGGGGAAGGGAGGGTGAGGAGAGGAGACCACTAAGGGAAGAGGGGAGGGTGGGGAGAACTACTAAGGGAAGGGGAGGGAAGGAGAGACCACTAAAGGGAAGGGGAGGGTGAGGAGAGACCACTGAGGGAGGGGGTGAGGAAAGGAGCCACTAGAGGGAGGGGTGAGGGAGGAGCTACACTAGGTGAGGGAAGGGAGGTGAGGAGAGGCCACTAAAAGGAGGGAGGGAGGGGGTGAGGAGGGCAACCACTAGAAAGGAGGGAGGGAGGAGGGTGAGGGGATGGAGCCACTAAGGGAGAGGGAGGAGGAGAGTGAGATGAGCTGTTAAGAGATGGGCCAGAGGATGAGGAGGATCACTAAGGGAAGGAGAGGAGGAGGAGGAGAGCCACAGGGGATGGTGGGAAAGACCACTAAGGGGAGGGTGGGTGAGAAGAGACCACTACGGGTGAGGGGAGAGACCACTAAGGGGGGAGGGGAGATACCATTAAGGGGGAAGAGGAGAGACCACAGAGTGTGGGGGGTAGGAGAGACAATGAGGGGGGAGAGGAAAAACCACTAAGGGATATTGGGGGGGGAGGGGGGGAGAGACGACTAATGGAAAGGAGGTAAGGAGAGATGACTAGTGGAAAGGGGGGGGAGAAAAGACCACTAAGGGGAGGGGGCAGAGGAGAGCAGAGACCACTCAGGGGGAGAGGAGAAATCACACTTTAGATCCTCTACACTAACACGTAACACATCCCCTACACACTCCACTCCCTGTGAGCGAACTCATGGGTGGACTTATGGGTGGGCCTTATGGGCATACTCCCAGTCAGGCCCTGGGGGCCCAGACCTTGAGCTGTGTAAGGGTCCCCAAAAATGGAGCTGCTTCCCCCAAAACATTGACTTTTGTGACCACAGTTACAAACACCCCCCAAAGAGCCTGTTCTACACCAGACCAGTGGAGCCAGACTGCAGCCAGAGCCCATCATCATCCTCATCTTGTTGTAAGTAGGCAATCAAGTATATTATTCGTGGCACTAATCTCTAATTTACCTCACATTAAAGGGACACTATACATTTATGTAAACTGAAAAAGCGGCATACCTAAAATGCTCTTGGTTCTCTTTCAATTGAAAAACTGGCAACCAATTAACTTCTAATTAGCTTAAGAATGATACATTTAAAGTACTAGATATTAGGGCTTGTATTTCTGAGTGGCACAAAAATATCTTCACTGCAAGAGCTTACACTACTTCTAATACGTGAAAGACCAGTAAAGCTGCTCAAAGCATGTTTAGTGCACTGGTTTATGCAGTATATTAAGCCATTTCCCCTTACCGAGACCTGTTAATTTAAAGTATAGCCCCTATCATTACCTTTTCTTGGGAAGTTGATGCAATCATAGTTAGCTGCTCCTCTGGAGTGGTGATCTTCAAGCCATTGCTGAGGGAGAAGACGAAAAGGCTGAGTTTGCAAAAACCATGTCTGGAGCTAAGTGTTATATTTCAGATGCACTGCCAATGTAAATATATATATAGATATAAAGTCCTACCTCTGGCACTCACCACCAATAAACAAATACAATCTGCAAAACCTGGGTGCTTTCAGCATCAAATATAGGGAAGTAGTAAATGGAGCACTCCTTTGGGAATTTTTAAGTTGTGAATTTAATCAATAATCAACGTTTCGACCATCTTGATAAAGACCCAGGAGGGTCGAAATGTTGATTATTGATTAAGTTCATGACTTAAAAATTCCCTAAGGAGGGCTCAGTTTACTACTATATATATATATATATATATATATATATATATATATATATATATATATATATATATATATATATATATATATATATATATATATATATATAAATATATATACACATGCATACATACACACAGCCTTTTGTTGAAAAAAAAAATGTTTGAAAGAAAAAAAAAAAGTAAAGTATTATGTGCAATGATATAATTTCCTGACCACAAGGTGGGGGGGGGATTTAAATTGTTAAGTTACAGTGTTCCTTTAAAAGGCCATAATGGCTGGATTGAAATGAAATATCTAAGTGGTGAATAGATGGGAAGCCTCCTGCTTAGCATGGGGTCTAAATGATCCCGTGCAAATTGTTTAACTCCTGATCCACCAGCCATTTCAAGAGGGTACAGAAGACTCCTAGAATTCATTATTAAGCCCTCAAGGCCTCCCTGGACAGCCAGAAATGAATTAAATGTAACAGCATGTTATTTAGACACGCACATGGCTCTCACAGGGTTAATCACTAAAGTGTGAATTGTGGGGAATTCTAAGTAAATTCAAAGATAAATTCAAATATACAGCCAAAGTAGCTTGACTGTAAGCATAGTTGACATGGAGAATATTTCTAGTTTGATTATTTTGGCCTTAAATGTGAAATTCACTTTTAATTAAAGGGACACTATACAGTCACCAGATCACTTAATTTCATTGAAGTGGCCTGTCTGCAGTGTTCCTGTCCCACTTAGTCCTGCAATGTAAATCTTTACTGTTTTTTGAGAAATTGCACTAATTACATTGCAGGACTAAGACTGCCTCTAGGCCCTGTCAATTAGAGAGCCATTAGAGGCACTTCCTGGTTGCTAATGGATTTTGGTCCCCCAAATGACTTTGGTCGTCTTCACGCTCTGCATTATGACATCCAGCTTTGGCGATAATCCATAAGTAAGCATTGAAGAAAGGGATGCAGAATTGTATTCATAACACTAGAGAATCTGTTTAATTTTGTATTTTCAACAATTGTCACTTTAGTTAATAATCCTTTAAAATATACATTTACTGTCACAAAGACTATGAATTCAGTGTTAATTTAGCCTTTGATAAACTACCAAATTCCTATGAAATCCACAGATATGCTGCTTCTTTTACAGCACAACTGAACTCCCGATTTCACTTTGCAAATAATGTAACTGGGATTATTTTTTAAATCCAATCTAGCTATATATCAACAGTTCTGTTTACTAGTTACTTTTATACCTCATAATGAATTTTAAGGGGTGATAAGCACCACAACAACAAGTTTAATGGAGTGGTTTTGTTGTGTAGGTCATGCCACTATACTCAAACTTTTCAATTTTCTGCCATTAAGGAGTTAATTCACTTTGTTTATGCAGCCCTAGTCACACCTCCCTAGACATTTCCTATAAAGAGAGATCTCATGTATAAACTTCCTTTATAGCACATTCTGTTTCATTTAGAAAGTCTTACCTCCTGCTCTGTTAGTAGCCGTTAGAATCTGCTGAGCCTCCTGTGTGTAAACACGTAATATACGGATTGATAAACCATTTTTCAAGCTGACTGTGAGAGTCAGTCAGGTAAGTTATGGCATGGGCTGCATAAACACAATACTATTCGCTCCTAAAGGACAGAAAATGGAGCCTGTACAGGCATGGTTTATACACTAAAAGGTCACTTCATTAAGCTAAAGTTGTTTTGGTGCTTAAAGGGACTCTCCAGTGCCAGGAAAACAAATCCTCCTTTTGACATTTTCATTATGTGAGATTTGGGACAGTAATTTGTGGCAGAAGCAAGGTATCGGAGAGGCCATCTTGTTGCTGCCGTGTGGACCCTCCTGTGGTGGAAATTTTGCCTTCTGTTTCTCCTTGGTGTTTGTTCCCTGCTGGTCCTCTTTCATTGCCTCAGAGACTCTTGCTTCCTGCTCTCTTAGCGGTTATACCAACTTCTCTGCAAGTGGAATCCTCTAACATTCCAGTTACCCACCTGGTTCTCCAGAGAGTCCTTAGCATCCTGGATTGGGTGGTAGGTGCCCCCTCCTCACCTGCATTCAGCTCTACTGTTGATTGTGTGAATGAGCCCGTTATGCTAATTGCACCTTGATCCTATGTTGGACATGCTTTGTGGGGGAGTCCCACTGTTTTTGTCTGCCCTCTCCTTTTTGGCAGTACCTCAGATGGTGTAGTTGCCTTTTAGGTGAGCCCCACTCCCCAGTCCCTTAGAACCAGCCTGCAAATTTCCTGTTGACTATTAATGGGGCTTTGGCCACTTCTGTGGAATAGACTCCCAACAAAGCTTTGCAGCACTTGCCCTCTAATGGGGAGATGCACTCTTCATGAGCTGATGTTTAAGACACTGGCAAGTCTTTGCCCTCTTTTCTACCTGGATAAAGCCCAGACCTCTATCCAATTAAAAAAAATAATTCTAATTGTATGCCATACCACTTGCCGATAGCTTTAGTGGTATTCATGTGCCCCATATACTATTGCCTTGCTAGGAAGCCCTAAATGGTGAATTATGTCACAGTTTGCTACCTGGGTTTCTTGGGGAAGTAATTTCATCCCTCCCTCAAAAGCCTATAGAAAACGTATTCATTCCCCAACACCCTCTAATTGTTTTAACATCTTGATCTATACATTATATATAATTCAAGTTGGATTTATCTCTTTTTTTACAGTGCCTAGTGGGAAGTTGTGTGGATGTCTTTTCAATCATCCTCCTACGGTCGGCAGGACCAGCCGTGTTTTCCCCACCTGCTGAATCTGTCCTGCCAGGACGCTCTCCTGCTTCCGATGTTCCTAGACCTCTTGCTGGATCCCAATCCTCTTGTCCTCCAGTGGAGGCTTCTGTTAATGGCTGGGACAGTTTCTGGGAGATCTTGAAATGTCTAAATGTAAATTCTATTCTGAACTTCCTTTCTGGTTTATCTTACGAAAGTCTTACAATGTGATCAATTTGTTCTGTTCTGCCATTTGAGCTGCTCGTGTTTCATTGGATGGCATTTAGGTTGGTAAGGATTATCATATATGATGTTTGTTCAGAGGCATTTACCCTCACCTTCCTTAGTTACTCAAAATTCTCAGATTTGTCCCCGACTGGCCAGATAACGCTCACCTTTTCCTGTTGTCAATTGTCCATTTAATCACTCTAAATCACTCCCGTGGAGGGCATTTATCACTGTACTTTGAATACATTTGGGCTGCACTAGTGGGCCCCTATACTTAAGCTGCACTTGTGAATGAATAATTTGGACTTCTTCTAATGCCTGTTGTTTTATTGTTCAGATCAGTACTGACAGTGGCTGAGCTGTGTACATACATTTGATAAGGAAGCATTTTTTTTTAAGTGAGGGTGTGTGGCTAAAGTGGCAGGCTTATGGTGCAGCATTCTGCAAAACATTTATTTTATGCAAAAAAATATAAAAATTTAAGCATGCAAAAAATACAGCATGGGGGGGCGTGGCTTGGACACCGGAGTAAATGGCCGCATGAGAGCTGAGCTCCGTCGAGAACTGGCCTCATAAGCAGCATCCCCGGCAATCAAGACGACATGACATCAAAGAAATCAAGAGCACAGGCGAACACCACCCCAGCTGCATCACTTACCTCGTCAAAAACCTCTCTCAGACGGTATTTTGGAGAAAAATAGGAGAAGGAGAAATCTCCCGCTTACAGGGCACCAACCAGCCCTGCAGCCTCAGAAAACTCCTTAGAGGGCAGCGACCTAAAGACCCTACTCTCACAATTACCATCTAAACTAGACTTGGAACTAATGTTCTCTAAGATGGAGAGGAGCTTTGGGGACAAAATACAATCGCTCCACGAGGAGGTAAGCCAAATAGGCCACAGGGTACAAACATTAGAAGAAGAGGGGGAAGCAACAGCCCTGCACATCACAAATATACAATCCCTCCAACAAACCCACAATGAGGCCATCCTATTCCTGCAAAGGAAAATAGAGGATTTGGACAACAGAGGCAGGAAAAACAACTTTAGGATAAGTGGTCTCCCAGAAACACAGGAGGGAGAAACAGAAGATATTATACTCCTGCTCACTGGCCTCGTTAACAAAATACTGGACAGGCCTCTAGACATGGTCATTAAATTGGACCGCGCACATAGAGCGATTAGACCCCGGGCATTATCTCAGGACAAACCGAGGGATATTATCTGTAAAATCCACCATTTCCCGATCAAAGAAGCAATTCTGCAAAAGGCCAGACGCCTCAGAGACATTAAACATGGAGACCATAAAGTGTTGATATTTCAAGACTTGGCACAATCAACTCTCATAGCGAGGAGAGCCCTATCGGACATGAACATTAGATACAGATGGGCATATCCCTTCACTTTAGTGGTTACACAGCAAGGGAAAACGTACTCTATCTCAACACCCGCAGATGTCCAGGCCTTCCAGCAAGCCCTAAAACTCCCAAAGGACACAGTGGAGGACTGGACTGGGCTACCATTGGGACAGGCATCACACACTTTTCAGAGAACCAAGTGGCAAAGAACCCCGAAAAAGCGTAGAAGGCATACCCCATCGGGCGATGAACAAGTTACAACTCCCAAAAGCGCAACAAGCAGACCCGCTTGAGGGACCTAAAATATCCTTTATTACGTATAACTGCCTGTTGAAATATCTAGATGCTCTCTCTTTTATAACTGAAAGTTTCACACCATTTGTCGCGACTTACATATTGTTTACTGTATTGCATATTTAAACTGCCTTCCGCGCAGCCACCGCCTGCACCCCCCTTAGGTACTGGGTCCTGGCTGCGTGAAACTAGGGGACAGAAATTCACATTTCAAAATTTACTACAAGTTAATATAAGATAACATAGGCCGTATAGTTAGGAACGCTTTTGAAATGATAAGTTTACATTCCAGATTACAGGTCATACGTTCTGGACACCCAAGACCTCGTAACCCCCAAGAGGTGTCGCAGAAAGCCCGCAGGACTCATACAGAGCCTAGCGCGCTAGACACCATCTGGTAGATGCATATTATCTACATGCTAATTGTACATACTGTTCCAAGTTTGAGATCCCCCACACACCTCCCTAACCCCCAAAGGTACAAGCGTAAGCAACACCACCTAGAGATGACACACCATCACTACCACCCAGCTTTTAATAGCTGATCTCAAAATAATATCCCTAAATGTTAGGGGACTTAATACTCCAGAGAAACGTACAGTACTAACCCATGACATTGACAGGCAACGGGCTGATATTGTTTTCTTACAGGAAACACACTTAAGAGGGAGTCAAACCCCTAAATTGAGGACAAAAACAATAGGACAAGCATTCTACAGCAACTATCACGGGGGCAAAGCAAGGGGAGTAGCCATTCTAATATCCCCACGCAAAGTCTTTACTCTGAGTGAAATCGAAACAGACCCCTTGGGAAGATACCTATTCATTAAAGGCACACTAAACAACACATCATTGACACTGGCAACTATATACGTCCCGAATACCAAACAAGTATCGTTCATCAACTCATGTCTTAGAAAACTACACAAATTTGCAGACGGGATAATGGTTCTGGGGGGGACTGGAACATGGTCCCAAATCACTCCACAGACAGTTCCACAACCAGTAGAAACAGACGCATCAAAGGGCTTTGTTGCAGAGATCCCTCCATGCCCACCAACTAGTAGATTGCTGGAGAATATCCCATCCACAGGAGAGGGACTATAGCTACTACTCACAGGTAGCACATAGTTATTCCAGACTGGACATGTTCTTCCTAGAACATAGGCATTTACACCTGTTAAAGGAGGCATCAATAGGCCACATCACATGGTCAGATCATGCCCCAGTGTTCCTCACATTCCATTACGGGAACATGCACACCAGTCAACATGTGGCGAATGAATGAATCACTACTGGATGATTCTAGAGTAACTGAGGACCTCAATGAATCCCTCCCTAGATACTTTCTAGAAAACAAAAACAAAGACACCACAGACACCTGGGTATGGGAGGCACACAAAGGTATTACCCGAGGTATATTGATTAAGTGGGGAGCACGTATAAAAAAAGAATGCCAAGCGAAGGTCAAATCACTCACAGAAGCAATATCTAGAGCAGAAATGAAACATAAAGCCGACGCGTAGAGGCGTATAACACACTAACAGCACTAAGAATGGATCTGCGCAATATCCTTACGATGCAGGCACATAGAACAGTGCTTCTAACCAGGGGGACATATTACGCACACGGCAATAGGAGTGGGAAGTATCTAGCCAGAGCCCTAAAAGAAAAACACCAAAAAACATACATATCCCACATAAAAGCACAGGATGATACATGCAAAGACAAAACCGAGGACATAGCCAAAACCTTCCGGCACTACTACAGTACTCTATATAATCTTCCAACCGACTCAAGACGCTACTGCCCGACTTGGTCCATACGGACCAAGCAGGATTCATCCCCGGCAGAAAGGCGAGAGACAATACCACCCGAGTCCTCAACATCATACACGGTGCCTCTACCACCAGGGAATCAACAATACTTCTCTCGGTGGACGCCGAAAAGGCGTTCGACTGAGTAGACTGGACCTTCCTATTTACCACCCTTGAAACTATAGGAATAGGCCCCAATTACATACGATGGGTGAGAACACTGTATAAGAGACAATCAGCCACAGTTGGAGTCAATGGGCAAAACTCCCCCCCCTTTACCATAAGCAATGGCACGAGACAGGGGTGCCCTTTATCATCACTACTATTTGTTCTGGCGATGGAACCATTTCTGAATGCTATCAGAGCAAATAACGACATTAAAGGCATCAGGGCAGGCGGACAGGAAGTAAAAGTATCTGCTTTTGCAAATGACGTGCTCCTAACCCTCACCCACCCCGAGCGATCTCTCCCACATCTTCAAAACGAAATAGAACACTTCAGTGCATACTCGAACTTCAAGATAAACGCTGATAAGAACTAATGGGAATAAACCTAAAACCGACCCAACACAAGCACATAAGCCACACTTACCCTTATAAATGGGCAAACACAGGCCTCACATATTTAGGCGTTAAACTCACACCCACAACTACGAGCCTCTATAGAATGAACTATATCCCCCTATTGGCTAACATTGAATCACAACTCAAACAATGGGACAAACCACACTTCTCCCTTTTTGGGAGAGTCAACATAATTAAGATGATACTACCAAAAATCCTATATACATTTCAAACGCTCCTCATCGAGCTCGGACGCTCGTTTTTCCACACACTGAAAAAAAAACCTTCCTTTCATTTATTTGGGGAAATAAAAAATCCCGACTGGCATATGAAACACTCACACGGGACAAAAAAAAAAAAGGAGGTATGGGACTACCCCATATATACAATTATTACATAGCAGTCCTATTCACTAGAATAAGGGAATGGACCGATATGAGGCACAAAAAAGCGTGGTATGACATAGAACAAAACTATGCACAAGCTCTTCTATCATCCCTCCCCTGGCAAACATACCAACTACAGCAGTTAAACACAACACACCCCCTTATCCCCCACATCTTAAAGAAATGGAGATCACACAAAAATGCATGGAAATTGTCACCAGGCATTTCTCCATTATAGCCATTAAACCAAAACCCGGCTATATTAGGGGGCAGGGGGGCACATACTATAATAAAACTATTAGGGATGCCGAACCCACAACTAGGAGATCTACTGACAGGAGATACACCACCTAAACTCAAGCATTTCCAAAATCCAGGAGGTCACCGTTCACTAATGGAAGCAATGAGATACGCACAATTGAGATACTCTATCACCCAAAAAAGTATTACCAAATTGGACCCCAAGAGGACTAACCCTCTTTGAGAAATTATGCACGACCACAAAACCACAGAAGCGCACCCTATCACAAATATACATACTCATCCAAACTTCCGACGATGCTCAGGAGACCCTGGCATCCCAACGAAAATGGATGAAGGAACTACACATGCATATGACACACCAGGACTGGGCATTTATCTTCACAAAACCCATGCACACTTCCAGTAGCCTATCAAGACACGAGTCTTTCTACAAGCGCATTACGAGGTGGTATAGGACTCCAGATGTACTTCATTTATATTGGCCAACAATTAGTGATCAATGTTGGAGATGCGGGGGAGACGTGGGCAATATGGTGCATTTGTGGTGGTTTTGTCCACAAATAAAAGCATACTGGGCAGAAGTAATATCCAAGATTAATGAGATCTTAAGGGTGCCACACTCCCTAACTCCCTCCCAGGTCCTGCTGGGATGGCCGCAATCTTTCCAATGTATGAGGAGTCAGCGCCTGCTATGGCTCCTTCTAGGAGAAGCAAACAACCTTATACCGACCTACTGGAAACAAACTGTATCACCCACAGTTAAACAATGGATAGAAAGGGTAGAGCACATGAGAGAAATGGAAATGTTACATTGGTCCACAATAGGCAAATACAACGCCTACCTAACCACATGGGAACCCTGGCTAAATCATTGGGCACAGATACGAAATCAACCACAATAGATTGAAAAGTGATGATAAAAAACACCTTGTACCTTTTCTCCCCACCACATGTACATAGTATTCCCCCGCCCCTACCCTTCATACCCTACCCCCAGAATATCTGGTGACCCCAGTTGACAACCTCACACCAAAGGTTCAAAGAAATGCAGAAAGATAAGACAACACAAGTGGTAATATAACGTAAAGTTTTATAGAAATTGATGTCTATTTCAATACTGCTGTATAAAGTGAATGTATCATCACCTTCCTAATCTCCCCACCCCCCCCTTTATCACTTGTGAAATATCAATAAAATTAGAATTAAACAAAAAACAATTTTTTTAAATACAGCATATTAATGAGGCCTGTTTTTATGCATGATGCCATGTTTCATGTTTGATTCTTGTTCAAGCGTGATCTTCTTGCCTTTGTTCTACAATTGTGAGGTGTCTTCAGCGTTTTCCTCATAGTATGTTATTGTTAGTTTGCGGTTGCTTGGATTTAACTAGAGTGTCTGTTCCTGTCCTATTTTCATCAAAGAAAGAGGAAGTGGTTTAATATGAACTCCCTTATACGCTTTCACTTTTGTGTCCTAATTGGTTCTTGGGTTTTTTCGCTGCTATTTAGAGGTGCAGCAAGGAGAGCCAATACAAAATATATGTCACCTACTGTTAATACAATTCAGATTATCTGAACACCAAGGCCATGATAATCTCACTTTGTTCCTCTATTCCCTTAATTTGTGGAGAAAAGAAGATTTGATGACTTGACGTGACTGACTTTCTGCAAATTAAAGGACTAAGATGAAGATTATTATATATTTACAATACAGAAGGGAGGAATAAAACGCTTCATGATTTATTTAAAACCAACAAGGAGTTGTTTGGCCATAACACAAAAAGTAAATGAATGCCACAGATCTACTCACATGCCAACGACTTCTTCTGATAATGGTTCCACCCAAAGTGTAGAGAGAGGGAAAATATGATGCGTAGAGAACTGTAGGCATTAGATAGTGAATGAGACAGATGTCAGTCCAATAACAATATACAGAAAGGTTCATCATTATAAAGCAAGCTAATAGTAATAAAACCAAATAATGATATCTGTTCTGATGACACAGTTAGTCTGTAAATCAAATGCACACACTGTGATAACAATGTAGTACCATAAAAATATTGGTACTCGTTTGCCTCAATGTTTAGTTAGCACTGGACAGCTCTTAATGAAATCAATTTCTAAATCAGTGGCACATTTACTATAGGAAGAGGGCTCTTAAAGAGTGGACATACTATGACAGAAGCTTATTTATTGTTCCTAAAGGGACCCTGTAGGCATCATAACTACTTCATCTAATTGGAATGATTATAGTGTCTGGAGTCCCCAGCATTAAAGGACCACTATAGTGCCAGGAAAACATACTCATTTTCCTGGCACTATAGTGCCCTGAGGGTGCCCCCACCCTCAGGAACCCCCCCCGGCTCTGGAAGGGGGATAAGGGTTAAAACTTACCTTTTTCCAGCGCTGGGCGGGGAGCTCTCCTCCTCCAATCCTCCTTCTCTCCTCCCCGTCGGCTGAATGCGCACGCACAGCAAGAGCTGCGCGCGCATTCAGCCGGTCACATAGGAATGCATTCATAATGCTTTCCTATGGACGCTGGCGTGCTCTCACTGTGAAAATCACAGTGAGAAGCACGCAAGCGCCTCTAGTGGCTGTCAATGAGACAGCCACTAGAGGAAATAGGGGAAGGCTTAACCCATTCATAAACATAGCAGTTTCTCTGAAACTGCTATGTTTATGAAAAAATGGGTTAATCCTAGTTGGACCTGGCACCCAGACCACTTCATTAAGCTGAAGTGGTCTGGGTGCCTAGAGTGGTCCTTTAAACTGTTTTTAATGTTTGAATGCTAAACAAGAGCCCCTAGAAGCCCACCCCCCTCTGTGCTGCTTGGGCCAATGAGGAAGCATTAGTCTGAGCAAAAATTAAAAGCTGCAAGCTTGATTTAAAAAAAAAAGCTTGCTAAAAGTCCTGATCCAAGGACTGAAACATTGACCTAAGTGATTGGACACAAAGAACTGAAACTTACTACAAATTCCTCAGGAGTTCAGTTCTTTCATAAATTCTAAGGTTTTATTATCTTTTCCCCTTTTTATTATTTTGACCTTGTTAATTCAAGTTATTTTATCTTTTCATTAATCTACTCCTCAGTATTTCTGCCATTATCTGGCCTTTTATTTTAATTTCCAAATTTCTTAGTTTTCCATCACCATATCCTGTTATTGTTCACCTAGATTAAGTATTTCAACCTTATATGTAGAGTTTTCCCCATTCCTTTATTACTGTGTCTGTGTTTTCGTCTCTTATTTCTAGCAGTTGAGATTGAACTCCGATGACATTTTGTTGGAGTCAGAATCTCCCAATCGTGCTCTATTGCACATGCACAGGAGTGCGTTTCTGATTGCACTGCGAAAGTTCTTCAGTGAAGCAAATTTCACTCTATAATCTCCTCAGCAGCGGCGAATTCGCGCCACCACTTGGCGATCAGTAATATTGTTCACATTTAAAATAGCTTTACCTCAGAATTATTCTGTTTCAAGTTTAACTGTTATTGTTCCTATTTATGCCCCTCAGTTTATCTCACAAATTTAACAAGAACATAAAATCAGACACCAACAAAACAGTTCAATGCACTTTAACTAGTTCTCAAATACAGCCCCTCCTCCTCTCCCATTCAAATCTATTCCTCAATGTTAGGACACAACAGCTGTATCTGGAAAATAAGACATTAGAAACATATCTTATGTTATACACAATTTTATACACAAAATTAATGTCAGCAGTGCATTACATCAACATTTAAAAATAACACATGCACAGTTATTTACTAAAGTGACAATTCAAACTGAATTTTCTATTTAAATTCCAAAACACCTAAATTGCGAAAAAGATCAGCTATGAACCCCTACTCATTTATTTTAAAATAAAACTTCATAAATAATCAATAAACTCACCAGGAATCCAGCACCAGACAAAGCACCCTTTGCTGGTATGCATGCCCCATCTGATGTCCATCTTTCCCTTTCCGTGGCCCAATCAAATGTCTCTAATAGAGAAGCATTTTAATGGATCGTTCTCACAGGCTCAGAGCACATGCGCGTTTTGTACCAGGAAAGGGTGGGACAGAGGAAAGTATCAGAGGAGGCATCAAGTTCAGATATCTCTGTTTGGGCAGCATTTCAAGCAGAAATGATGCACCACCGCGACCACTTCTAAAAGCAGAACTGATCGTGGTGGTTGAAGTAAACCATTAAGTCAAAACTATATAGTATATCTATTACTATATGACATATATTATAAATATATACAGTGATACAAACAACATTCTGCAACCTGTAGCTCTTTATACCAGCTAAATGAAGACTCTTGCCCATACCTACACAATCCATCTTACCTGGGCGTGCACAAAAGCATCGTTAAAAAGGATGAACCAGTTGACTGAGAAACGACTGGCATTCTGCAGAGAGAGACCTCGGTTACTGCTCTCACAGATCAGACGCCTATCTGGCTTCCTCAAGGAGTCCTACAGCACAAAAAAAAAAAAAAAAGCAATGCAAGAGAACCATTAGGGCATAGCAAAGGACAGGGCAAATGCGGTTATAAATATGACACTGCAAGAAGCAGCAGGCGGTAACTAAATTCTATAGTTCACAAATGGAAACTACTGGATGCTATGCGATGGACGGGAACGTAATGCACTATCTGTAACAATGATCTCATAGTACTGGTCATATATTTAGAATGTGGTTTACTTGGCAGAATGAAGTGTGGTTTCTGATTTTATCTGGTATGTACTAGGAAGCATTAACAATAATAATATGGTTACTACAAGATACATCTTTTTCATATTTAAGAATATATTTATTTAAAACCATCCCAATCTTATGATAACTACTTAAGCACACAGTTACAAAAGGAATTCAGACCATTCCAAGCTAGAACATTTACAAAAATGTGGTTAAACACTATATATAGTTATTGGTTTCAGTCATGTCTCACGGCAGCTTTTCTAAAACACCCCCCCTCCCCTCCTTCTCAAGGTTAGTCATGATTACTGGATCTTAGATTAGATTTTAAGCATTTTAATGTACTCTGTCTGTGTGAATAGCATTTGCATCACTGGGATGTTCACTTTTAGTATTTTGAGAATCTTAGTTACACAGAGGGGCATCACAAGCTAAAGCTAATCCCCTTACGTAAAGCATTATACAGAAAATGTATTCAAAATGTAAATAAAAACACATTCATTTCTGATTTTCCGGATGATCAGCAACTGTAACTGTTTGTTCTGCCAAGACGAAAGTAGTCGTTGACAGTATTTCAGTCAATCCTGACTTAACCTTTAATGGAAGAACACAGTTTAGCTTTTCTAACAATAATCTGCCTAGATTTCACCACTGGCAACAGTTTAATTCATGAAAATGCATGAATAAAGAAGATTCCTATGTTGATTGCAACTGCTGCTGGCTGGTTGTTACAGATATCTCCATTCATGTTTTTGCATGAATAGATCTATAAATTATTACAGTTACAGAATATAGGCTGATGTTTAGCCTTTCACACATCTCTATTACTACTGTTCAGACAAAAGATGACGAAAAAAAAAAACAATTTTGAAATGGTTTATAATTTTACTACAGAATGGAAAAATTATTCCTTCTTGATTCCAAAATGAGTCTCCGTGGATCAATAAAGATTATTATATTTTGTAAAGAGACAACAGGTTTTGCTGCTGTAAATGCATATGGCCCTTGATACTTACCAGAAGAAGTGAGGATCTGCATGGCATTTCATTTACACATTATATAAGTACTTGTATGGCCAATGGGGAACCAAAGCTTCTACTTGTAACTCATTTGAGAGACTGTGTGGGATTATTTTGCGACTTGCTACAGTTGTAAGAAAATGTGTGCAAAAAGCAGGGCGTTTCTTCTCATAACCAATGCTAGGAGTGTCTCTGTATTACGCAGCTCATAATGTATTTTATTCCTGATTAATGGTATAACATCATGTCACTCTCTAAATCTAGCTCTCAAGATTTACATCCCTACAATCAATTTTTAGAATTGACAAATTAATTTATAACCACATGGCAACCATTTTGGCATATTATACCGCCTCCAGCTAAACAATTGCATGCATGTTATCAGACTTTGGACTGTCGATCCTGAACTATATTTTATTTTTATTGATGCTAGCGTTGTATTTATTTACATTGTCCCTACGATGTGTGTTGTAGCCATGTTTTTTTTTGTTTTTTTTTCGCTTTATATTTTTAAAATAATTTTAGTTCATGTTAGTAATTCCTACAGAGAGATTTTTTTTTTGGTTCACCCTTTCCAAAGATTTATTCTTTGTGCCTTGTTATAAGAGTCCGTCATTTTAATTTAAAGGTATAGTTTACTGTATAATTAATTCAAAGTGTAACACTGCTTATACTACAAACAGATTTGCCTAATCTGTTTTACTGTACCAATTAGATTGTTGATTGATATGTTTTTACATATAAGATCATTAAATTGGAAAATAAATAACACAAATTATTTTGTTCCTTACCCGACCAGACTGTTAAATGACATGCATGGAGGACAGAGAGTTGAATGATGTCAGGTAAGAAAGCAGTCACAGGAAAACCAGGCAAACAAAATAATTAAATGTAAGCAAATGCATGTCATGCATAAACTAACAAAACTGCATATATCATTAGCTTGGGTAGAACATATCGAACAATATAAACATACAGTCATCTTCCCAGGGAAGGTTTTCCAGAAGCTCAGTGTACGTTCGGCCTCCTTCTTGTTCCTGCTGAGAGCCAGCGCCAGAGACTCATAACTACTGCTACAGTCCTGCATCTTTTTGTATTCTATAGAAGACTAAAAGGAAAAGGTTAATATAGCAATGCTTGATTATATTGATGATGATGACAGTTAACCTCAATATACAGATTTAATAAAATAATTCAATACAAGAAACCAACCACTTCAAAGCACATGCCCAGTTTGAGGAGCAATCTGGCGTATATATGTAGTCTGCCCATTGGGGAGAAGAAGAGAGAATTGATCATTTCAAGCAGTGGCATGTTTTCCCCTTTATTCTCACAAAGCCTCTGTAGCAGCTCTTGGTTCCTGCCGAAGAAGTCCCTGAAATGAGAAACAGTTTGAATTACTTTATTTCAGAACCTTATTTACATATTATTATTTATGTTAAACATAATCTATTTGGTGACAAATGGCCTTGCAATTGCCAGCCAGCAGCTTTATTGTTGCAGTCTGAAAACTGACACAACATAGTTGTATATTTACAGTATACAAAGTGCTAAGCTCATACTTTTGCCAAAAACATCCCACAACGAGCTTCAACTCAACCATTTCTCTCTGGCCAAGCATCACTGCACATCAACCACCCATAGGTCTTCCATCCACATGCTCTCCAAACAGAAATGTCCTACTCAGTCCTACTCTACACCACAGGACCATTAATCAGTGCCATGCCTCCCAGTAACATGCGTTTTTCTACATAGCGCGTTACTCCCAGCTGCTGCATCACTACACCTCTCCTAATTGCCTAATTATGTTGTCTACACAGCAAATTAAGGGGTCTTTGCCACATCATCCCATCTATGTCATTAGATTGCGTTTGATGGTCTTCATTCCCCTATTGCTTATTTGAAATTTGGGACTTATTGATAAAAATAGATATTAGCAGTCGCCATTAATATGCCCCACTGCAAGATCCTGAAATAGGTTTTGTCATTACAATACTTTGTGACTTACATTGCTGGTTTGGAGAGGAGCGCAAATCCCCCCATCACGAGGAAGTTGAAGAGAGAAGTGCAGTACCTGCCGAAAGTAAATGGAGAGCCACAATTTGAAACATGAATTTACGAGCTATGCAGTACCCACGCTTTAATACACACACCCACGCTTTAACACACTCTCTTTCCCCCAACAGGTGCATAACAATCAGAAAGCTTTACATTTTAAACCTGTGTAGGATTGCAGCAGCTACAAAGCTCTGACAGCCTCTTCGGTTATGAGCAGCGGCTGGGGTATCTCAACTTAGATGGTCTCCCTCATATCTTTCTATGGGAATATTATTACACAAGCTAAACGCTTTCCTATACAAATGAATGAACATGCACATACAGCTTTGAGTGGCTCATTATTACATAATAAAAAATAATGACAGCCACTTGCACTAGCGATTTTTATTCATTGGACAAGGCTGCACACTTTTCTAACAAGTGCAGAGATGGGTGGATTTATAGCACGTCTTTTTTTGTTTTAACATATCTGATTGCATGCATTTCACATATAAATATTTTCCTTTTTTTATCATTACCATGATGCTCTGTTTGGCTGCATTATCATAGCCTGTAGTGCCATTAACTAATGCACAAATAAAGATTTAGTTAAATTTAGTTTTTAGTAAAATTAACCATGCTCAAATAAAATTACTAAGTATATGTGGTAAGATCAGACACTTGTTTTACTATTAAATTACCTATTAATGGTCAGATTGTGTTGTGAAAATTGAAATGTTTATTTCCCCTGGAAGAAGTGAAGTTCTTCTCTATTGTCCATTCTCCTCCCCCTTTCCTCTTCACTCCTGAGACTGCAAAGACTTGGGAGATGGGACCTCTGAGGCCCAGCTAAAATCCTTAGGGAGTAGTCACCCCGTTTTACACTTTTTTTTACATCACTTTCCTCAAGGACATGTGTAATGTCCTTTTAGATATATCATTTTTGTTATTTGTGTGTTTTTACTACATTTGTACTTTATAATACTGCCTTTGTTCTAAAATTATTTTTAAAAATGTAAAAACAAACAAAACAAAAAAAACACAAACTATTTACTGGGAAAAAAAATAGTTAATGTAGTATAGACATACCAATTAATTAATGGGATTTCTATTTTTGAAGCCCCCCAAAAAACTAAAAAAACTAAACATACAGTAAAAAGTCCCTTTAAATACACAGTTTTTTAGGACTGGAGTGATTTCTAAAATTTCTTCTCAAAATGTTTCAGAATTAAGAGCATGTTCAAATTGCATATTCTACCATGAAATTAAAAAAAAATGAAGAAGCATGCAACTCATTCAAAAAATGTTAAGGTAGGTTTTTATTAAAGACGTTGACTTTATATCAATTTCTAGAAAACTGTAATATAGATTTAAAACCAAATATGACTTACTCTGTGTAGCTGTCTAGAAAGAGATTTGAATGCTCCAGAATGGAGAGGGTCCGAGCATCTTTAAGCCCATGAAGGAAGTTACTGAGAGAGGTTGCGTGCTGGCCAATCAGGTAGCAGAGTTTGCTGAACTTTGTGGCAACATCTTGTAACAAGTGGTAAGTAGTCATAGAGCCCAGATTGTCTATAAATGGGACAATAAAGAATTCATGTTAAATAAAGAGTAAAAAGCAAATATTCTTGAAATAATTCATTAGCAAGAAATAAAATAAATACAGGTATATAGTTTTTGCCCTGAGCTACACTGTTGCATGTGTTTTAAACGTTTAAGTAAAACACAGAAATTGTTCATTAGAAAGATAGAACAAAAACACACACACAAAAAAAATTGCTTAATACTTATATTGAAGATCTCACAACTTGACTAACATCACTGCTCCCAATGGCTTAATTTTTCTAAGTTTCAAACTATCTGCACATTGAATTAAGTGTAAACTGCACATCAAGGCAGAAAATGCCAGTGATATCAACATTCAGTGACGTGATAGCTGATTTGAATGGGATGGCTTGCAAACGGAATACGTTTTCTTAGTTTTCCACTGCTTTCGTAAAAGTTCTACAAAACACAAAGAAATGCATCAACAGTCTAAGGATTAGCCTAACCGCACTCCCCCTTCTGCAGTGGAAACTGCAGTGTGTATATTTTAGGATCCAGTGTCATAAGTCTCTGTACTTCTTTCACTGGTAGGAAAACATGAGACTAAGTAAATAAACTTGCAGTGCTCATATACAGTGTTAAAATATAAACCAAGATTTACCATGCGTTGCTATTAATCAACCTCAATTTCACAGTTTGTGTGGAATTGAGGAGTCCCATGTATTTCCTGTACATGACCTTTATTCCTTTTGAATTGCATGTCATTTCTCCTTCAATTGCATGTTTTTCTATAACACTCACAAAAAGTGTATGCATACTGTGTAGCAGGCCATTTTTGGGGCCTGGCTAAATATTCCTTGCAATATGTCTTATTCCTCTTGCTGCCAAGATTACAGAGGCATTGCTGGCTACATGAAAATTATTTGCATACTTTTGAAAAAAATTCCGGCACTGAAAGACATGTATTCGTTAAACCCATACACTGTGATGTTTTACTCACCTCCTCAGCATTAAAAAGGTTCATTTTAAATAACCCTCTAGGACCCCACAAGTAAAACAAATTTAACGTTCCCTCAGTTGTCTGATGTTTATAACGAAAAAGTCCCTCTGAAAAAGTTGGTTTATCTATAAAGAACAGTCTTTGAGAAACATTTTAAAAGACCATCAATTGACAAATTTTGTTGGTTTCCGTGGGGACTATTTTAGAATTCTGCCATTAATTGTGTAAAAATATAAATAAATCGTTATTATAAAATAATTTAGAGATTATATAAAAATGGAAATGTTCTCTATATATTAAAGCAGATCAGTCAATTTCAGGGGTCTAACATATTTTGCAAAGACCTCCGAAGCCGAAATCTCTTATAATGGGATAGTGGCCCCGGGGTGTAGTGGAAGATAGGTATAATTACCTGAGATTGTCCCTCGCAACTGCAACCATCTTCTTCTGGGGATCCTCTTCCGCTCTTGGTGCTTCACCTGCCCAGAGCCGCGAGAGTACAACACTGAGGTCTGCAGAGAATTTTACAAGACCATGGAAAGTTCCATAGATCACAGCAACAAGCAAGATGATGCCTGAATCCCACAGCCATCACAGGTGACGGCTGCTAAAAAGGAACAAGAGTCGATGGCGGAGCTCCACCTTTTGTCAATTTTTCTTAAAGGGACACTCCAGGCACCTAAAGCACTTTACCTTGCTGACGTGCTTTGTGTATGAATAGTGCATCTTCTTGGTTTCATTTTACAAAAAAAGTGCAGAAATTGGCACTTGCATAAATTAATCTTGTTTGGTGCATGGATGCTGCCTCTTTTCTTTGACAATGTAAAATATTGTAATTTTGGTATCATCACAGAAAGCATTGAATTGGACAGAGATATATAATCTCACCATGGGTGAAACTGTGCTGCTGTGAGTAGTTGAATATGGAGGAGAGAGGGCAAAGGATGGATGTGGAACTGGGAACCAATACGGTGGGGAAGCAAAATAAGATGGAAATGGTAAGGACACAGATGTAAATGTGGAAGAGAAAGAAGGGGACTCGTATGGCGAGAAGATAAAAGTGGAATAATATATTGTTGGCCATAAGGCTTAAGGGCCTTACAAAACCTGTTATACCGTGTCTTTTGATATGATTTGACCTGTCTTGTAACCTTACTACATACAAATAAAGAATGTCAAAAAAAAAAAAAAAGTGGAATAATATGATGCGAAAGAAGGAAAATAATTGATATGGTGAGAAGGAAGGCAGGAAATTGGAAGGCCATATAAAGAGAGACTAATATGTATTAAAATATGAAGGCATTGAGGGGGAAGATTTTAAAAGGAGCAAAAAAAGCTGGAACTCTAACTGGGAGAATAGGCAGAAAAGAAACAACAAAAGAAATGGGAAACCAAGAAAAAAAAAGGGGGAATGAAATTTGTTCTGGGCGCCTTAAATTATTTAACTTTATTGTTACAGAAGATTTCGCTCCCCGGATCAAAGAGCTTCACCATCTCTGCCCTTGGTGATCTAATGTAACCAGGCACCCAATGAGCGAATTAGTAAAGTATAGATCATTGTAATAAATACACAACGCAAAATTAAATTAGTCAGGCTACTCACCCAGTCCCAGGAGAGGTCGGAGTAACTGAGACTTGATATCACTCAGACGGCCATAGTAACGTCTCTCTGTGGCTGCCAGTTCATGCAGACTCCCAATATACCCCATCAGGTTCTGGTCCACCAGGGCCAAACAACTGCCCATTCCAGCAGCAATACTGGAGACGTACCCCAGCTAAAGAGAGCAAGAGACAATCGATTATGCTGTGGCAGTCACAGATGAAAAAATTAAGCTTTTCATCTTGCTTGTTCAGTTGGCCAATAAGAAACCAGTGATTAAAGGACACTTTCTGGAAATGCTGACATGACATCAAGTGACAGCTATACTTTTACTCTTAACCAGAGAGTATATTGCCCTACTTAATAGCCGGTTTGTAAAAGTTGAAAACAGCACACCTTGCTACATTCTGTTAGAAGTGTAGGGCTCGGATCAGAATCAGGTTCACTCCTCTCATTAGCGGTTTGCGGTCCAGTGCTATATATAAAAGGCTGGAAATCTTCACTTCCGTGAGCAAGGAAAAGGGAATGGTCCTGTCCTGCAGCTATGCTCCACGCATGGTCATCATTGCATACCTAAAGTAGAGAAGCATGAAATATGTTATAGGTAACCCAAGAGGTCAGTATTGTTTACCTTATAAAAAGAACAGATTATCTTTGAATAATGAAAGAACTAGGATTGTTTTATCAAACCATGTCTGTTTTATAAATACGAGAGTTATGAAGTTTTAATAAGGACATTGGACATCTCCTTCTATAAGTATGTTAGCCTCACTCAAGTTTCTCCTTCTGAAGATGTGGGACCATAACGTCTATTAAAGTGTGATGTGTTCTATTAAATATGATTATTGAGAGTGTCGCCATTTGACTTTTGTTCTATTTAGCAGATCAGTAGCATGTACTGCCTCATACCTTAGCAAGTCGAGGCATGGTAGTTGGAGATTGAATGTGACCAAGTTGACCCGATGCATTGCTCCCCCAGGAATAGACCTGAAAGTAAGGGACACATTATTATTATTATTTATATTATGCCAAAAAGTTCCGCGGCACTGTAAATATAATAAAAAAGCTGTGCCAGTTGCCGAGCTCAGGAAATGATTGGGCACATTAAAGAAATTATTTAACCAATGGATATTCCTGGGCTGCTTGTTGCTTTCAACTATATTGTCCTGGATGCTCAGAGAGCCGTAAATGCAAATCAGTAACATGATAAACCATTCTTGATGCTGCTATTAGCCCTGAAATCATTGTTAGGGAGATTGAAACTCACTTTTATAGGTCAATCACAAGTATAAGCATTTACGTGCCAGCTAGCTCACCAGAGCTGAAAAGGTCTTAATTTAGGGCTATTAACTTAAGAAAGCAGACCTCTACCCCTACTCTGAAAAAAAAAGAGTAAAAAAAAATAAATATAAAAAATCTCCTTTTCAATTAGATCAAGTGCCAGAACTAATAGAACAAATAAAGCGGTGCAAGAAATATTTCTGTGCCCTCCACCGCCCAAAATAAAAAGTGTACCTTTCATTGCTGTACAACATTCACAATACTTTGCCAGCTGAGGATCTATCATTTGTACATCCTTGCATGGTTGCTTTTGTGTGCAATGTGTGTTTGAATGTGTTTTATGGAGTATGTGTGTGAATACAGAGTTGTATTTGCATATAATATTGATGTTTGAATGTAGGAGTATATGTGTGTACAGTGGTAGTATTTGAATGCAGGGGTATGCTTGTAGTGTTAGCATTTGAATGCAGGTGTGTGTTTGTGTTCAAGTATGTATGCAGGGGTGTATTTGAGTGTTGTGTATATAACACATACACTACAACACACAGATACACACACTGACAAGCTCTCACTCCTGCTTCCTGCCTCGTGGACAACTGAGTTAGCTGCAAATGTTGCCCCAGGTCTCAAAAAGTCAGGCTCCAGAAGAGCCTCCCTGCAGCACTGCCTTACCCTCTGCTGTGCTGCAGAAACCAATAGTGGTGTGAGTACCGGCAGGAATGTCCCTGTGGTAAGGCAGTAAAAGCTTTAACCAGTAACTGGTTAGGATGATATTTTATATACATCCATAACACAAATCCAATTAGGTAAATTCAACACTCTGCATGCCTTACATGTTTTTGACATTAATCATTGTAAAAGATTAAATGACTACTTGCATCTAAACTCACCCTTCACATTTTTTGCATGATTCATGAAATCAGTTTCAAGCAATTGTTAGACTACCTCTAGCTCATGTCTGACACTTTGTTCATTGTTTTAGTAAAACCAATAAAGCTAGTCAAACAACATTCTCAGACATAAAACAAATTGTATTCTGATCTCTAGAAATATTGTACTGCCCATATAACACAGCACATGCTTGAAAATTAACAGTGCATTTTTCTCAATATGCAGATTAGATATAGGACACGTTACCTGAGACCTGGCAGTAAGGGCAAGTGAGTGGTGACTGCCGGCTGCCAACTGAACCACTTCTTTACCATCCATGCTCCGCACACATAGAGGCTGCAGCCTGGTTAAAAGACAGGTTAAAGCACATTTTATTTGGTGAAGCCTTTTTGAAAACTATGTGCATATTTCAGTAGATAATACCAAACCACATATGTTTTTGAATATCTTGCAGATGAGGCCTGCCAAAGCTCCCTTTAATGTCTGAAAGGGCGAACACATATCTTTAGTGTTCTACCGATGTGAGAGCATCAAAAAACAATAAGGAAGAATAGGATACTAGTTTACATCCAGTTGATAGAGTATTACTTTCTTTAACACACAATAAGTTGTTTGTGTTGGAATCATTGTATACAGATCATTGCTTATTTCATTAAAACCAGAAACCTTTCTTCTGTTGAATGCTTTCTACATACAAACGAAATAGACAGTTGTTATACCATCCAGTAGGTTAAAGGTTCTCTTACCTTGGCAGGACATCTCCATGGCCTAGTTGTCCTTCTTTGCCTCGTCCCCAGCTCCACACCTCCGTTTTTAGGGATGGCAGCAACAGATCAGCTTCACCACTGTTTGTGGGCGTTAGAGCCACGGTTCTCATCTTTGCTCTGCCTACTTTCCTCAGGAGTCTGGGAGAGACTGCAAACCAAGAAAGAACAGTTCAGCATGTGTACAACGGCACATTTACATGGTGGCAAGTGCGGTTAAGAGACGCAAAGAGGTAAGGCGGGTTACACAAGGGAGTAAGGGGATTAAATGGGACTTGGGAAAGAAAAGACAAGTTGGTAAAGGGAGGTTATAGGAAACCCATAAGTTAACTATGAGAGACACACAAGAGGGTAAGGTGGGATCATGAGACACACAAATGGTGGTTGAAGGGGTGTAGAGATACAGGAGTGTATGGAAACTAAGAGAAACAGAAAGGTGGCATGGAGTGAAAAATAAAACGTTGCAATTCTAAAGCAATTCCCCCGGGCGCCAGATAACCTGCAACCACCTCAGATTTATGGTTTTTGAAGGGAAGGTAATGTTAATATCGTCCAAGGGGTTTATTCACTAAACTAGAAAATGTAGTGAATGAAATACCAAATTGCAAAATTGCTGTGACTATCGCAGAGTTAGTAAATTTTTACTAAATCCTATTATTGCCTAAATGTTGCAGTTGGATGAAAAATTTACTGCAAGGTGGTGTTTTAACACACACAAAAAAAAAAAAGATGGTACCCTGTATGTGTTTACCCCCATAAGTGGCTGATCTCCTGCCAAATGCATTGCTTACAAGGTGCTTGAATGCGTCTATTGGATGATTTTTAAAAACCACTTCAAACGCACAAGAGTACAATCTGCTGTATTATTCCACATGTGAAATATTTAGACCACAAGCATGCTCTCCTCCCCTTTTCATGTGTATCAGAAAAGCAAGCAATTCTGGTTTTAAATTTCAGGGTTCTACAGTTGTGTACAGTGTTTGTCACAGAAACATTGTAGGTAATGGAATGGTTTAGCCACCATGTTCGAAACATAGACTGGTAAAATACAATAATGAATTTATCACGCAATACTGAAAAATAAAGAAACAACCAGAAACCCAAAGCAGGGCCTTATTAATTGAATTCAGTCAGAGAACAGAACTGTAAATCATGCCAATGACTGCAGGCACGCAGGCTGGGCTGTTGACATCATGAAACGTGGCAAAGTCAAAAAGTGTATTGCACATTCGCAACTTATCTTACATTTTTAACACTGTTGCTTTCACGGATGGTAGCTTTGAGCAGGTGATGGAAAAATTATCATCACTTAGGGCAGGGACAGGAAATGTTTTTGAGTGAAAGTGCCAAATTATCTGCAGATCTCAAGTAACACACGTAAAAGCATCCAATTTGCCATTTATCTTTCTTTTTTTAATCTTTAATGTTTTAAAATAAAATGATATTCCATGCAGGTGAAGCAGAATACCAAAAAAAAAAATATTGAATTGTGTTTACTTTCTGTTGGGTATCTCTGACACTCTAAACATCTCAGGGTAAAGCCATCCTATCGCCTTTACATCAGCTCCTGTAAATCCCTTCAAATCATAACAGCCTTTCAACTTAAACAAGTGGAGCTAGCCCCACCCTCTTTTCATTTTATCTCCCCTTCCCTTTATCTCTGCCCCACTGCTTCCATCTCCCGCATCCTTTACATGTCCAGTTTTCTCCTTCTCCCATTTCTAACCAATTCTATTCACTCTATACTTCTACCATATTCATACACTTCTCTTACATTGCCAGTAACCTTTTTCCAACCTTCAGATCAATCTTCTTTTCTCCTACCACAGCAGTCCTCTTTTCACCCATTTTTCACCCATTATGTTTGTTCTCCTCTTCCTCTCAACAATAGCTCCTGTTTCCACATTAGGTCTCCACTGACCCATCTCCTCTGTATTATTAGAGCATTACCCATCCCACTATTTTAAATCCAAATTCCTTCTTCCCATTAAGAATGGCTGCCCGCACAGGATTTGTCTTTTGCCTTTCCAAAAAACTTCTCATGAGGGGTTTATGAATGCTTCTGCATTCATAAATTGCTTTGAATGTGCCGATATCAACACTAGCAAAAGATCACCTGATGTTGATGTCATGTGACATGAGGCACCACAACGTGTCCCTTTAATTGGTCATCTAAAATTTATAGCTATTATCTTATAGAGAGACTATGTTTCAGAGGCCGAAGGTGGGACTTGTGTCATAAGAAAGAGTTACAACCAAATGCATTCTGGCTCTGTCTTCCTCAAAACTAAATACTCTGCAAAGTTTGTGGAGCTGGAGACAAGATATTCCCAAACTGAACAGAAGTTCTCTTTACATTTAAGACTCTTGGGTAGTGCGGGATACTTTCTAGTTACCTTGAGAGAGGAGTCCTGGAAGAGAAAGCCTCCTGCTACTTGCGTCTGCTTCTTCCTCTCGAATATCCACAAGACTTGAGCTCTTCTTGCCTTGCATAGACTCTAGCTTTACTTGTTCTTCCCTGCTATCCCGCAGTCCATCGTGTACCAAAGATCCCACAGAAGGATGTGTTCCAGCTTCACACAGAGATCCAGAGTAAAAGTTCATGACTTTCTTTAGTGACTGGGCCCCGGCTTCGCAAGTAGCGGCTACTCTCACACTAACGGCGGAAGCACAGGACACCACCAGGCTGTTTAGAGCAGATGTAGAGGTAGTGACAGGATTAAGGTGGCAATTGCTCAACTGTTCTTCCAGTTTCTGTTCTGGAGCCTACAAAGTAAGAGGATTAAAACATTTAAAAGGTATTAATGTATAAATGAAAAATATTGCGGTTTAGCTCTCAAGAGACAGCTCCAAAAGCCCACTATGGAGAATTCACAAAAATAATCATAGTTACAGCTTGGATTGCTAAAACTTTGCTTGGACCTCGTGGCTGAGAACACTTACATGGCCATGATCGGACAGTGTTTGAAAACCGACAGTTAGACTCGAAGGTCTCCCTTGCTTCATTCCCTGAGCAGAAGCAGGGTAGACCATAGAGACTGTTGGTTTTCAAACATGGTCGGATCAAAGGTGTATGCGTATGGCTGAAGAATCCGGTCATTTACTAAAGGTAGAGATGCATTTTTCTCATTTTTTTTTTTTTTTTTAAATTTCCTCCTAGTACTTGATGAAAGGATTATGATATTAAAAAAAAAAAAAAAAAATTTTGATGTGACAGTTGTGCTTTAAGATGCTGTACCTTCTATCACTCTCAGAAAGGCGTTCTGTAACCCAAAGCAGGATCAATATTAAGGAACGCAAACTATATTATTTTACTTCCATATGATGCTGATAAATTGTTGCTAATTTAAAAAGAGTCTGTAAGCAAACTTTTCCAATCATAAAGGGACATGATAGGCACTTTAATAACTTAATTTTATAGAAGTTGTTATAGTGCCTGCCCCATCTCTCTCCCTATCCCCCCCTCCCCCCCCCAAAAGCCACGTCTCCAAGCCCTCTGGGTATAGCCAGGAATCACGTGCGCATAGCCATCACGGTAGGCCACATAGAATCATTGCATTTAATCCCTAATGCTCCTCTACGAACCTCCAGGATGACACAACCCGAGGAGGTGGTTGTGGCAGCACCGAGTTGAGCCCTGGTAGCAATTCTTATTTTTATTTCTCTTTTTTTCCTTTGATACAGAAGAAGGGACCTAAATGACAAGGTGCATCAGGGCTGTAGTGTTAGGAATACAGCCAAAAACACCAGCACAGCTAATGGCGTGTAATACCTGAATTACACATGTGACAAACTTAAATGGTATATCAAAGCTTTCCTTTTAATGTTAGCTTTATTTATCTCTCACACGTTTGACATTGTTAACTGTGCTTTTCTCATTTTTTCCACTGCAAAACTATCCAGACATTTACTGCCTTTATAGTAAGCGAGCATGTTCTCTCACTCCCTCCAGTCCTTCAAAATCCAATGGCCGATTGTGAAGTCTTGATTTAGAAATGTCATTTATTTGTTTTCAAATTTTTTTTAATTTTTTTTTTAATGGTACTCTCTAATTTTAGGCTCTCTCTAGTGTGTGCACAGTTCCTTATTAGGGTTGGAACAATGCCTTGTTTGAAGAGGGATCAGAATTCCCACACTTCTTACTGTGAAAGGAGGATCACTACATACAGTGTAGGGGAATCCATAAACTGAACTGCAAATTTTAAAATTGCAAAGAAATAAATAAAAAATAGTTATTTAATTTAATCGTGAGCATTGCTTAAAGTCATAGAATTCTGTATATCATTATATTCCTCTCCCTCAACACAAGGCCAACATTATTTTGACAGACGGACATGTTGCTACATATAAGCCAGCTCAGCCTAACATGAGCTAGAAGTGTTTAAAATTATGTCTTTCTAAGCAAGCTGAACATGTGGAATAGCGTAAGAAGCAAACTGCAAAAAGGTGAGGTCCCTTACCAAGGAACGCCGTGATACTCCTCGTTTCATTACCACCATATCATTACTATTGCAGTAAACTGTAGTAGTAATCATTCTAGGAATCTCCCTTCAAGGTTATATATTTTCCATTATTCACAATATAACTACACACAGGAATGGCACAATATAGAGAAGATATACAAAAAGGAAGTAAGGGAGCCAGAATTACTAGGACTGGCCAGGAGTGTGAGGACAGTTAAATGGCAATTCTAAGGATGGTTTCCTATGTTGATAGAACACCCTTGGGATTTGTATTCAGGTACTTTAGAACACTTAAGAGTGGGGTGATATGAGTTGCTGGAAAGGGATGACAAACCTGAGGAGTTCTGATCATTTTCGGGGCAAATAAGTTACCTGTTCACCTAAAATGTGCTGAAAAAAACCCAGCCCTTGGCCACAACCCATAATATCATTATCCCTCAAGTGACCATATTTTTGGCCCAAATCCATCTGTCCCTCTTTTTTACAGAATTAAAGCAGTGAGACTATAGGAGCATAATTAATACACCAAAGCTACTTCAGTAACCCCTTAAGGACCATCCGATCGGATGTGCTGATTACCCAATAGAATGCTTCTAAGAGGGAAGCATCAGACTAGCAAATACATATGAAAGTTCTCATTCTCCTATGAAAAATTCTTTAGTTTGACACAAGTTTCCTAAATCAATTCATAAAAGTAGTGGTTTCTCTGGAAATAGGCAACTTTATGAAATGGAACAAGGTGGACTTCATGTTAAGTCTTAATATACTTTAGCAAGGCAAAGTGCTTTAGGGATCTAAATGAAAGTACAGATATGATCAAGGGTGTAACTTGGAATCACAGGGCCCCGGTGTAAGAATCATAGAAGGGCCCCCTTGTGCTCTCACTGATAGATATACACAGACATACATTCACTGACAGACACACATTCATTGGCCCACAAACTGTTTAACCAACACACACTTTCACTCACAGATACACACACTCACTGACAGACACATACATATGTATAGCGACCTTACCGACCCCTGCTGTTCCACCACTGAAAGGTGTAAAGTGAGACCATGACTACCTGTGGTACACTGACAAGTAAGACCTGGGGTAGATTATGTGAGTGCACTCCGTGCCCCTAACATAGTGACAGGACTCCAGGCAGGCTGGCCAGCAACAGGTCACCCTCTCCCTGACATGATGCTACCAGTGTCTAGCCAATATCCATCAGGACCTCATCAAGGTTGCACTTGTTTTTGTCGCCACAAAAATCTTTTTGCTGAATTTCATGGGCTGGAGGCTGATATTTTAGTCCTTCCACGGCTCCCGTCTCCTGTGAGTAAGGGCACAGAGAACGCCGGAAATGGACTAAAACTCCCTTCTGCTGGATGTGTGGACAGCGAAATGTAGTTTGGAAGTAGAGACCTTTGAATATTGCCTATTTAACAATTAAAGAGACCAAGTCTCCTGTCCCAAACACAACTCAGTGTCAGGCACTGTCACACCGCTTAGACAGAAGATCCATCAGCATGGGTAGACAGAGCAGCTAGGCCCCCTGGCCTGGTCGCAGCTGCGATCCCTGTGACCGTGGTAGTTCCACCACTGGTTATGATCACAAATGCAAATTGTTTTGTTGATCCTGATGAAAGCTCAGAACGTAGCCTAAAACGTTGATTTTTAAAGATTCTTCAATAAAGAACTGATTTTATTTCAAAAGACCGTGAGTGCTAGCCCATATTTATATTTTTGGTTGTGGCTAAGTTTATGCACCCAGCAACAACATATTGCATTATTTGCTGGATATATTGGAGTGCAAGGACTGGACTGATAGATAGATAGATATATATTTATTAGCAAGTCTGTGTACCAACACTAATGCCCTAACACTAATCCCTCAGATGGAAACAGAGCTCCAGAATGAAATCAGAGGGAATTAAAGCTCCTGGGGGAAAAAAAAAAATCTATGGGAATCAGACCTCCAGGAGGCTAATAAATTGTAGGTAGTGGTGACAATGATGTCGCCCAATCTCTGCACTGAAAGTGCACAAGTAACAATTTAATGATACTACTCATTAGTACAAACTGAATGGATCTCAACCAGCTTTCGAAACAAAAGCTGGTTGAGATTTGAAAGAGAAATTAAGAGATTTATAGCCAAGGAACTGCTTGTTACAGAATGTAGGAGAAAAAAAAATGGGTATTCGCCATTGTCTACACTGCCCTGCCAAATGTAAGCAAACTACCTTTCATTATTCTATTTTATTGGTTTTAGCAGAGTAAGCACTATTGTTTGCTTTTAAAAAAATCTATTTTATGGTCATCTGTATGCTGTGAGACTGACACATAGAGCTACATATCCATCAGTGGGGAATGTACCGCTCTATGCGGTTTTGCCTTGAACTGGCCTATAGCACTATTAAATGTGAGTGCAAGCCCAATATCTCTGTTGTATGTCTTCCACCTAGCACCAGACAATCTGCATTATTATTGGTTATTTTGTGCTTTATTACATATATCTACATGCATTTTTGAAGTCCAGATGCTTACCAACTAACAATATCTCAAGCATACTTTGGATTTTTTGGATTCAGTATTTGGTGCAACCTGTATTGTGTTTACTAACTCCTCCTTACATACATAATATTCACACGGTCATATTTATTTTAAAAATATTATTTACTACCTTTAATCAGACTATTTCACCAATATGGGATTAACTTTAATAGCAGTGTTTACTTTCAATAGAAATTAATTTCTAGAAGCAGGGGAATTTAGGAATTTATTTTAGACTTCTCTGTAAAAGGTTGAGAAACACAGCTGTAGGCAAGTGATGTAGCTGGCAGCCCCTTCCCTGACTATGGGCTTGATGAAGCCATATTTTATTTTTTAAGCCAAGCAGTTTATCCACCAGACCGTATGAGTGGAAATGTTCAACAGAGACACATGTTTAAATAGCAAATTGTATCTCAACAGGGGTAGATAGACTTAGTGAATAACACATTACCTGTGCAACCTCCGTGGTATCATTAACAGTTCTGCTTTCATTCTGATCAGTGTCTGAATGTAAGGGGGGTGCAGGAGCATCTCTGTCCATACTGGAAGAGGCTTCAGTTTCACAAATGCTAGCAGCATCAGTACCAAGTTCAGTCTCAACTGAGGTCTGCACTTTGGAAAAAGAGTTCTCTTTGTCGTCCTGGGTTTCTGAAGACAAGGAATTCTGTTCCTTTACTGAACTTTTGTCCCCAGAACTAATAGAAGAGTGAACAGACTGGGTCTCAAGATGGGATTCCGCCAACATAACACCCAGTGGACAGCAGTGAGCATCAGAAATAATGACATGGTCTTCTTTCTCGGTCATGGTGATAAGTAATTCCCGACAGTGGTTGCACCTCTCTGGGATAGGCTTAACCTCTTGAGCAAGATGGCACTGAACAAGGGCTAGGCTGTGAAATGCACCACAGACCACCTGAAGAACTACACGGCCTGAAAGATGCTCCACCTTTTGTGGCTTTGTTACTGGGGAGGATGACGTGATCAGTCCAAGCTGGCAGCCACTGCCCCATGCCCAGACTTCCCGGGTGGTTGACAGTGCAAGAGTGTGTTCTTCTCCACAGGACAGTTGCATAACTCTCACCCACCTTGGAGGTGTACTCTCCTGATCGGATATAGTAATAGCTACGGGCTCTGGCACTGTTGGGCAGTCTGCAATAGCACACTGGCCTGCCGTGTTCTCGCCCCACATGTACACCATTCCACTTTCTGTTACCGCTCCACAGTGGTAACTCCCTGCAGCCACACATGTTACACGGTGTGCCTGCAGACCCTTTTCCAGTTGTGGATCTTCTGGTGTAACCTCTTGTGAGTTCTCTCTCCATGGTTGCTTTCCAAAACTGTAAACGTCACCACCTGCAATAGAAAAATAATTACATTATTTTGTGAAGAATTTAAATTATAACATACACTAAAAATAGCAGAGTGGCCCAAAGGTTTAGTAGAATGAAATGTAGAAATAACACTAAATAATTAGTATTGAACTGAGTCTGCAAAGACTAATTTTATTCTTTCCTGTGATTAAAATCACTGAAATCAACAAAAGTAATTTTACCGATTTTAAGGAACCGTCAAAGCACCATAACCACTGCACCATAAACTACAACTGGTTGTAGTGGTTATGGTGCAAGCACACTATAGGAACCGACCCTCATTCTATGTCAAACCAATTTTGAGCTAATGTGCTCTGCCTATCACTGCCATTTAAAAATGGACAAAACTGATCTTGCTAATGAGGAACTGTAGACTTGCAGTAATAATAAGGCAAAAGAGAAGAAATCAAGGGATATCTCAGGGCCCCAAACCAGGAAATGGTACCCGTAGCCCTCTAGCACTATCACCACTACAATGGGGTGCAGTCGTTGTGATGCTAAGACTGACCCTTTAACACATTTGTATTTCTGTGGCAAATCTAAGGCAACGGTGCCAGTGTTTTTAAACAGAGTTAAAACATTTTAACAAGTTTTCTGAAGTGCTAGTTAGCACATTTTCAAGGCAATGAAACATGTGCACGCTAATATTATTATTATTATTTATAAAGCACCAACAAGTTCTGTAGAACTGTACAATGGTCTCCTTACCGCTAGTTAGCAGAAGTCCATGATTTATTCCAAGGCTGGCTTGTAGCACGATCCTTCCTCCCAAGCCAGAAAGCCTCTCAGGGTTTAAAGGGACAGCACCAGCCTTCCATACATGCACAACGCCTCTTTCTGTGTCTCTTTCCCTGTTTTCAGAACTGCAATAAGAGGGAAACATATGTTCATAATCTTAATATGATTTTACTGGGATGATAATGTGTAGTAGTTGACGACTGGCATGAGAAATCCTCTGGGAGTATAGAATTCAAAATAAATGTCAACATTTAAACCACCATAGCTGAATTTCAAAAATTCTAAGAATAAATTCTGTGTTCAGATTGGCTATTTTGGCCTTAAATTTGACACTGAATTCCCAGCAATTCTCACTTTAGTGAATAACCCTGGTTGACTTTAGATGCAACATAATTCATTCTATCCATGTAAATCTGTCCAACAATCAGACTGGTAAATATTTTCAAGGATTACACATATACAGGCACCATAGACGTTAAAAGCAGCTGTATGTTTAGGATCTGACAAAGGGTTGTAACTGCACATAAGGATACTATGTGGAATCAGGGCTTGGCATACTCTCAAGTAAGACAGTCAAACGTATGACTCCTGTCACTGAGCATATTTGTTTGCTAACAGTTTGACTTGGGGTCCACAGGGAATTATTCCCACCCTCTCTGTAGACCGGAAGCTTTAGCCTGACGGGTAGAACCCATCAGAACCCTACTTACATTTGAATGAGGGGAGCCAAGCCACTCCTGGCACCATAACTATGGCACTTACAGTGTTCCTTTAAAACCCTCATATTCCACAGGTAACTAAAACCTAGAAAATACATTTCATTCTATACACTCTTACCTCTAAATTGTGCCTCACATAGGCCATTACCCTGTAGTATGGAAGTTTACAGATGGGGTCCTAAAATCTAGGATTATTTATTAAACTGTGAACTCAAAGTGAATTTAAACTTTTAGGCCACATTTTTAAAACATTCTCCCAGTCGGCTGTTTTCAGCTCATTTATTTTAACTAATTTTAAATTCACTTTGAATTTTACACCTTAGTGGATTTCATGGGAATACGAGTTTACGAAAACCATCATTATAGAGTGATTTTTTATGTTAATAAAATATATTTTACATACATTTTTAACTAAATAGTGAAAAAAACAAATACTATAAAGCAAACATACCTTTCTCTCTGTGTGTCCATCGGTCAGTGCTTAAATCCCATCACAGACTGCCTTTTTGAGATGTTAACTGCAGATGGCAAACTCTTAATATAAGAGAAAATCACTTCACCCAACCTAGAAAATCACAAGAAAGGATTAAATTAACATCCACAGAAACAGATGACAGCAATACAGTGCTAAGCATTCCAAGAATTTCATGCTGAGGTTTAAATCACTGGGTACTGTCTTGTGACCCACTCAAACAGTAAACAGAAATATTCAGTAACCAGCTGTATCTACCCACATGGAAGCAAGTAGCAGTGTGTGAAAAGTGCACACAACAATATTGAGACAATGGGGGCATTTATTAAACCTTCAATAAATTTATAAAACAGCTACCTAGCATTCAAAACATCCGGCAACCTATTTTTGTGACACTTATAGAACTGGTATTTAACAATATTAAGATGCCTCGAGGAGACTAGGCATGAAAGGAACAGTAATATATCACGCTCGAGTGACCATGTAATAGAAAAGTATACAGCAAAACATTCTTGAGTGTGTATGTGAGCAAATTAGCAGAGATTAGAACTCTCTTGAGTGACCATATAACAGACTAACAGAACTCACTCAAGTAGTGACGTGGATAAGCAGAGAACTGAGATAACTTTCAAGTGGCCACATAGAAGATAGCAAAACTCTCTTGAGCAGCCACATAAATATTTTTAAACTATACCATCAAAGAACAATAAACCATCAAATAAAGAAACAAAAACGTGAACACAGATTAAAGGAATACAAACAAAAACAATTCAGGAAGTTTAGAGATAAATACATCACCGATCTATGGTACCTAAAGAATATAGTATAGTACTAAAAATAGAAAAGTTGGATTCTATAAAAGCTTGGGTGCCTGCAAGCATAAGTAACCAGGTAGTCACACTACTTGAGAAACAGGTCTACAGGAGGAGTGGAGAAAGTGATCGCATGTGTGTTAGCCACAAGTTCCAAATTTCAAGAAATTCCTCCATATATCATACAAGGATAGCAGTTAGCGTTTCTGTGGTCATGGTACACTGTATGTGTTTTCTAACATTTAGCAATAAATGATTCCAGTTTTGGATTAAGAACCTAATTAATTAAAATAGGTGAGTTACTCTTGTATCACTTCATAAAAGTTTTAAAAGTACAGTGCAACAATACCAAAATATATACACTTTTTTTTCTTCATATGCTACAGTCCAGACGTCTCTAGCATATGGAAACTACTTGTCTGTTTACAAAAGGCGTTACCCATACATTAAGAACATATTCACTCTTAACCCCTTAAGGACACAACTTCAGAAATAAAAGGGAAATCATGATGGAATATTTCCGTCATGTGTCCTTAAGGGGTTAAAATGCAGAAAATAAATAAATAAATAGAATGGAGTAACTGTAGGGGTTATGATGCCACGAGTACTCGGGCTCGATTCTCTGATTATGGGGTAAACTGTTTAGCAATAGCTGGTCCCCTTGCTCGGATCCCTGATGGGCTCAGAGGCTCACTTGCGGTTCAGTGACGCGCTTCCAACTTCAGAAGCTGCGGTGGTCATCATTCATTAGCTGAGAGCATCAGCTGACTGCTCTCAACCAATGGTTGTTATTCTTTGCAATTAAATAATTGATATTAGCCAGCCTGGAACTCTAGTTAACTCTGTTGCACATCTGGCAACAGAAGGGTTAATCTCTGTATGTGTTGTGAAATGCTGCACAAAAACTCCAGGCACCGTGACCACTTCAAATCAGTTTAGTGGTGATGGTGCTTAGCTAAACCCTTTAAGGCTGGCTAGCATTAAGAGAGTTGTAGTTTTACAGCAGCTGCGGATCTTACAACTATAGCACGAATGATCAGCGCTGGAGAATGACAAGCAAGTGGTTTACAGAAATCAGTAAGCTACCCTGTCAGCCAACAGTTATTCAGTGTATTTAAGTAAAACTTAGATCTTAAGATCTAAACAAACCAGAACAAAAATATGAAATTGGTCGTGCAAAGAGGCTCTTATCAGCCATCAGATTGTATTTGCAGTGTTGATTAGATCTGATTGAGCACCCAGATGTTTCCTCCTTAAGGAGTAAAAGGAGACCACAAACAGAAAATGGAAACACCTATTGATAACTGTTGCACGTTGGCAGAATGTGAAGTGACTGTCTGCTCCATCACTGACTGGGACAACATGACCGAAAGTATTAACACAGCGTTGCAATCTGAGCTCCTGGCAGACTACAGATGGTTCTAGTCATTCATACAGCTTTAACAATAAATGGGGTGGGATGGCTTTTCAGCTTCTAAACAGTAAATTTTTCCATTAAAGATCAGTTTGACCGAAGCCATTTAAGTAGGACAAAAATTTAATTGTGTGTAAATTTGAGAATAATTACAAAAAGGTAACCTATTAAAAGATCAGTACCAGCAGACTTGGAAAAAGCTAATTTGGTCAGATGTATTTTAAATTATTCTTGTTTAGAATACAACTGGGTATTAAACTGGGGGTTCAAAGCAATTGAAAGGGGCACTCTACGCACTATAACTACCTCAGCACACTGTTTGCCCGTAAGAGAAAGTTGCCCCTATGAGTCAATGAAATTCCAACATTGTTTTACGATTCCATTGAACTTTGATGTTATGATCAAATAGTGCAAACTCTTTTACACAGGGCCATAACCATTTTTGTTTCTATGTGTCTAAACATGTATCATCACAAAATACATATATGCTACGTACCCACTGTACAGGGTTGTGGAAAATATTGACACATAAATAAAATAATGATGGAGAGAGAATAATCTTTGAAATATTATCAACTATGATCAAAAAAAGCTAGAATTACTGATACCTTTGCTTGTAAGCATTTATATAGGATGCTCAGCCACAGAAATACTGTGCATGACAGGCTATATTCCTCATTGAATGACATCAGCTGAAAGGGCACTAATAACCATAACCATATTCTGCTGTAGTAGTAATGGTAGCAAGATTCCCCTGTCTTGTGTTAAACCGTTTTCGATCAGCTTGGCACAAACTGAGTGCCTCCCACGTGCCAGTGGCGCAGACCTTTTACTCTGCATACTGATACTGCAACAGTTACATTTCCTCACTAGGAATATCAATTCCATTTATATTTTGACTGCATTCGCTGCCTGAGCCCTACAGCTGACTATATTGGGGACCTCTTTGTTCTAAAACTGGCTTCCACAAACTCCGGCCCTCCAGATGTTGCTGAACTACAACTCCCATGATTCTCAGCCCATTTCATTCATAGAATCATGGGAGCTGTAGTTAAGTAACATCTGGAGGGCCGGAGTTTGGGGAAGCCTGTTCTAAAACATGAGTTGTACTGTTTAGCTCTGGGTGACTAACATCACTTTCAAATTCAGATTCAAAGTAGGGTATATTATAAATTGTCATGTACTTGGTGTAATCCTTTACAATGTTTAACTCTTTTAAGGATGTGTCGCTGGCATTATAAAACTAAGTAAAGGCTGCACAAACTTACTGTGAAAACACTTTCACAACTCATCTACTTTAATTTCATTATAATCAGAACTATCTGTAGAGGGGAAGACACATTTTTAACAAAGTGAAACAGACCTCTGTGAGAAAAAATGCACATACAAGGACAATATCACTGTGCAATACAAATTTTATTTGCAAGAAAGCTTTTACAATTTTTTAGGCTAAAATACTAACGCAATACATGGCTGGATGGAAAAACATTTACAAAACATTGACACAAGCAAACACAGTTTTTCTAAATATTAAAAAGGAAGTGTTGGTTGTTTTGAAGGGCTGTTTACACAAACTACAATTTCACACAATGAAGACATTATCTGCACAGATAAATGTTAGATGAAGGAGGCTGATACAGCCTCATTGCGGGATCAAATTTAATCAGGCAAAATGCACACAAGTAGTTTTTTTTTTTTTTAATTCTTTTTTTAGAATTCCTATGCTGGCAGGATCATATGATGAGCACATGATGAGTTGAAATCCAAAAATACAAAGGTTAAAGGGACACTATAGTGTCAGGAAAACCGCTTGGTTTTCATGACACCATAGTACCCTGAGGGTGCCCCCACCCTCAGGGTCCCACTCCCGCTCCCACCCCCAACGGGCTCACTTACCTCTCCTCCCCCGCCGTCAGCATCCTTTTTTGACGTCACTGGCACTGCCGCGCGCGCATTCGAAGTGTCAGTATGAAAACATTTTTCAATGCTTTCCTATGGATGCTCTGTGTGATTGAGGCATAATATGCCTCAATCATTGCCGATGCGCCTCTAGTGGCTGTCCGGAAGACAGCCACTAGAGGCTGGCTTAACCCCAGATGTAAACATAGCAGTTTCTCAAACATAGCAGTTCTCAGAAACTGCTATGTTTACATCAGGCAGGGTTAACACTAGAGGGACCTGACACCCAGACCACTTCATTGAGCTGAAGTGGTCTGGGTGACTATAGCGTCCCTTTAAGCCAAAACAACTTGCTTGGGAAAAAAAAATAAAAAAATCCCAGTTTAAACATACATTTGCTCACGAAAAAATAAATCTCAATTATTCAAACAAGGTACAGGAATATATTTATTTTTGTTTAAATGTATGCAATGTACATCTGTTTATCCACCGAAAATATTTGCATCTCCTTGTGAAGATGTATTGATTTTTTTTTTTTAAAGCTTTTTTAAAAAAAAACAAAAAAAAACAAACAAACCCTACTCCTAAAATGTTTTGTTTTATTCTATAATCCAAGTAATAAAGCGTAGAAGTGTAAAAGCTAAACATTTTTTTAAATAATAATCTTTGGGATTTGTCCCCCCTCTCCCCCCTTATGCTCATGATTATTTATTTATGCCATACATAATGCTGTGCTACCCTTACAGGGTAAGTGGGGTAACCCACCCCCCAAGGTGATCATACACAGGTATTATTATTGTTTATATAGCGCCAGCACATTTCGTAGCGCTGTACAGTGGGTACTCAGAGTGCAGTCTCCGTGGAGAGCTGATAACAGGTAGCCTACATTAACACATCAATGATGGGTGGCTACTGAGCACTATAGTGGCAACGTACTACATTACCCATAATGCCCAGCCAGCCACCTGACAAGTGGAGACAGCCTGACCTTCCTATCCGGAGACATGGCGCAGGAGGCAATACACAGACACCGGCCGGCGGCCGCCTTACCCGAGCGGGACACACGCAGCTCCTCTCTGACAACCTGCTCCGGGGTCAGCTGTGCGAGTGTGGGAGGAGCTTGGACGAAGCCTGGGGCGGGGCATCAGAAGGGGGCGGTACTTTGGAATAGGGGCGTGGTTACCGAGTGCGTGCGGCACCCAGCAATTACGAAATTACTGCCGGCTATGGAAAGCCGGAGGAGACAAACTTAGCGAAATATTCAGTGGTGGTAAATTTTGACAAAAAAAAAAAATAATATATAAGAAATAAGAAATCTTTTTTTGTTGTTTTTTTACGAGGTTTTTTTTCACGCAGGGGTTTATTCAGTAAGCTCTAAATTGTAAAAAATGATGTATGGCAGAATTCAGGTAAAAATAGCTGATTTGCTCCAATTTGGGAGTTTATTAAATAGCCCTGTAACATGTGAATTGTACATTTTATCCCAAAATAAATTAAATAGGAAACATTAGACTTGGAGAATGATTAGGCTATTTTGCCAACCGTTTGAAATTCACTTTCAATGGGTTATTTACTAAAGTGAGAACGCAAATTAAATTTTTAATTTTAGGTCAATAATAGCGAAACTGGAAAAATTTGTGAGCATTACATGAATATAAAATCTGTGTTGGAGTGTCATTGGAATTCCAACGTCATCAATAGATATTCTAAGATAAAGCAGGGACTAGTTTGTCTTATGTATTTTTCATACACTTGACAAAAAGGTGGAGCTACCGCTGTCAAGGCCCCTGCTGTCACTAGAGGTGGGAAGAGGAAAAGGCTTTGTGTACAGTGGCTCCCACGGCCTCACAGACAGTGTTGTACTCTTGCGCGATACTAATACACTGGCATCGGCATGTGAGAGATGAAGAGCCGATGACAGCGTGTAGTGCACTCATTGTTTGGAGCCTATAATATACCGGCTCCAAGTATTGCTAGTGTAATGTCATAGGGCGACACCTCCTTTCTTTTTAAAGATATTTTTAAATGTAGGAAGCGGTATAAGAGTGCACCCCCAGGTATTGGCAGAAATAGATTTATTTGGAAAGTGTAAAAACAAAACTTAAAAATACAAAAAAAAAAAAAATAGGGTTTGTCCCTCCGAGATGCGTTTCGCCTTTACAGGCTTTTTTCATTCCAAACCTGTCTTGGCTGTCATGATTTAAAGGGGGATCATGACAGCCTCTTCATTATCGTATACGATGTTTCAGCCAATCATAAGACCCCATGGATGGGTTGTGATTCAATACTTCTGTGGGTATCCTTGTCCATATGCTGGATGTGATGTATGGAGGCTTCCCCCGATATATCACTTCCGGCCGCCAGGTTCATACCACCAGGTCCATAATGCATTGCTGTTCTTCTGTGTGTCAGGGGTTATGCCCAGATGCCTGATCTCATAGCCACTGTTTGCCACAGGAATGGCAATGTACAAAACTAAACAGCAGAAGCCCCACCTTTTGTCAAATTTTGTCAACTTTAGGCTTAGCCATAACTCAACCGTGTATTATGATATCTTTTGATTGTATTGGAATTTCAGTGATTATCTGGCAGTTAATATTAGACATGTATATTAGGTTCTGGCCGAATCTGAAACCTGGAACTCTGAAATGCAATATGGACATATCAGAAAATGGCAAATTCATAGTTAAAATCCCAATTATTTGCTCTCTGGCAGTACCAAAGTGAGGTGGTGGAGATTGAGGTTTCAAACAAATCACAATTTGGATTCTGGACCTGGAATGCCACATGGATGAAAACCGAGTCGTCAAAACAAAAAAAATTTTTTGACTATTTGATTGGGAAAAAAAAACATTTTCACTGTGCATTAATTAATAATGCATATAATAATATATATATTTTTTTTTTTTCTATAACAATATGAATATTTCATAAAGATAAACAGGGTCATTCACTAAAGTCCTTATTGGGCACTCTGGCGAAATGTGCGCGTCAGGGGCTCAGGATGCTCACTCATCATACTTTTGGTGTTAGCATTCACTACTGATCTTATAATAGACAGCCGACACTACAAGCAGCAGCTTCCTTGTTCCACATGGTCGTGCAGTCCTCCTGCTACTCTATCAATTTGGTTTCCACTTGTATTTTAGACTATAGGGGCTACAGTGGGTGGCGGTATAATAGAGTAGGATTTTTTTTATTTTTTTTTAAGGAGTGCCCTCAAAGGCACATTAGATTCACCATTTTGAGATATACCTCTGTGGCATTTTCCCCCTTTTCCTCTATACCTGAAGCCGTGAAATTTAACAACCAAGATTACATTTATGTTCATTAGCATACTTAGTTTACTTCCAGGATTATAGTCATATATTTCTGGTGTTAATCCAAGATTTTCCCTTTGATAGAGGACTGTACTTTCCATTTGGTTGTTTTTATTCATTTTTGTTACTCTCTCATATTTTTATTATATTCAAGATATTGATTAAAAGTTAAGTTTTATCTTACTCACTCACATTTAGAGCACACAATTTCTGGTAGATTTTTTTCTTTTGTTTTTTCAACTTTGATGTACGGTTGGGGCAAATCCATCCAGCTACATTGCCATTCAAATTGCAAAATTATTTAGCAATGTCCGGAATTTGCAATTCACGCCCGTGTAGTAGGGATTACAACTGGACTGAACACTGCTGGACATCTGAAATCTGGACCAAATGCTTCAATCTCGGGTCTGGAATTAAAGAAAGATCATTGCTGCCCAGTCGGGTGGGGAAAATTAAAAGCAGGTAATAGATGGTAAACATATCACTGTACACCTACCGACCCCCCATCGGGGTATCTAGTGCACCCACCTGGCTCCCATGTATTGGCGGTAGCTGAGAGCCATAATCGTGTTAAATGAGGAGAAAATGATGAGGGTGGGGGCTATAATTTTAATAATATTAAGGGAGAGGACCTAATGCCAGCCTAAGCAACCTCAATAGCCGGGCAGATGGCCCCGATGTCTGCCGACCGTTTTTCCCAGGGTTCCTACCGGAGCTATCGAGGCTCCTCCACTACTTGGTAATCAGCAACGGAGGCAAAGTCACCTTTGCCCTTCTTTCCTGTCAGGAGCAGACCTTGGCAGTCCAGTGGGACCAAGGGATCCTTCTATGGCCGGCAGCAATGTCATGTTTGGGGGGCAGACTGTTCCATCATTTCAATGTTTGGCAAACGTTAACCTCATGTTTAATCCTGAACACCCTTCTACGTTATCACATCGTGTTTGTCTAGCACCCAGTTCAAACCTCCATGCCTCACTGTATCGTCTTTTCCCCACAAGACAAGATGCTAGTGTCAGAAGAAATTTGCACACTAGTGACGAAGGACGCAATTTGTAAAGGTTTCAATCTCCACACCAGGTTTTATGAGCAACTTCTTCCCGGTGTGAGACCAGATATCAATCTTTGTCCTCTAAATGCTTTTAGACAAATACCCCCTTTTAAAAATGGAGTGTATTCACTGTCTCTGGGATCTACTCAGGGTGGAAGATTGGATGGTCAAACGCGACCTTCAAGATGCTTACCTCATGATTCCAATTGCTAAAGAGTGCCAACACCTCCTTCAATTTCAGTGGAAACTGACTATGTGGTGTTGCAAGTGCCTACGTTTCGGTCTTTCTTAGGCTCTGTGGTGCTTCACCAAGGTTCTGAAACCTGTGGTCCCCCTCTTACGCAGCAGAGGCATTTGTATTATAATCTATGCTGAGCCACCGGATTTTGTTAACCATTTCCTGTCTGCACAACCATTATCACACATGTCAACGTGCTTTCTTATTTCTTTGGCAAAATATTGATTTTGACCATCATCTACTTGGAGTCCCATGTACCATTGGCTACCTCGCATTGGCAAGGGGATTACTAGCCCCCCATATCATCAGGGGAGGCACCTTGTGAGCGCTTATTTCTACGCTATCTCGTGAGTGCATTTATTAACAGCGCAAGATCTATTGTGCATACTGTATTACACTATTTTGTTTTTATATGTTCTCTCTATATATTATACAGCCGTATCCTGATTCTGTTTGTGTTTTTTTTTGTACTTTGTAAAGGTCGTTTGTTGTGGATAATGATCTCGGGAGGCTGCACATTAATTGAAGCTAAGTAATTTGCACTACTTTCCATTGATATTGTGGTGTTTATATTTGTTTCTTTTTGGTATTTGTATTAGAATCTACCTAGACGACATGCTTACCATGGCCCACAATGCCCACCTGCTTTGTCAGGATCTCTCATGGGCATTGTCCCTGCTGCAAAATTTAGGATTTCTGATCAATTGGGAAAAGTCGGTCCTCAAGCCTGCCAAATGCATAGAGTTCTTAGGATTTAACATGGATTCAGGGCACGGGATGATCCTCCTGCCATCTGCAAAGGTCAAACTTATTAAGTAGGATATTTGATGGACGTTGGCCTGTCTGGTTTTGACCTGACAACTCACCAGGATGATTGTTCTACTCTCAGCCTCTATCCAGTTAATTTTCCCAGGGCCCTTTCACTACAGGGCCCTTTAATGTCCAAAGGCCACATACCTACGCTTGGGTCACTCTTACTGTTCCACTCAATTGCACCGCCAGAGAACAACTCGCCATGGAAGCATGAAATGGCATAGCGATCTTTGGGACTGCTCCGGATTTCATCATAGAGTTCCAACGCGCGTACGCTCGGATGTGGAGCGCATAGTGGTCCTATCTCCACAGGGGGATATGGTCTCCAGCAGAAAGAGAACTGCACATCAATTATCTAGTACTCATGGCAGGTTCATTTGCCCTGCAGAGCCTTTAAGGGATTAAGGGATTAAGGGAGAAAGGGCAGGTAACTTTTTTTTCTTTGTTTTTTACTATATGTATTAGCTGATGTATACTGTAGTTGTTGCTGCCGCCCAGGAGTGATGGGAGCGAGCACATGACTTTTCTTTTTGTATTTGCACACACACACACAGGCAGACAGTCATACACACACAGACAGTCACACTAACACTGATAATGACACATAGTTACTGCTGCTCATAGTAGAGGCAGTGCAGCTCCTGGAGGCTGTTTGTTGTGGAAGCAGGGACTCCTTTCCTGCTTCCCCTGC